CCTCATAAAATGCGAATTGTCAGTATTTATGTATATCATAACTGCGAAACAAGTCAGCTACTCTTTTCACACTTGGTATATCTAAATGTCTCTCAACCAGGTATCTGATGTGTATAAGGAATCTATGGACCTCCTTTTGGTAACTTCCGCACAAAAGTTGAACATTTTGATTATCATTTATTCGCACAAAATTGGAAATAAATGTTCGATTTCCTTTAAATTTTGCACATACCAATATTTGTATCAGTTTTAGGTGAAGTGGAATGCTTCGGTCCGCTATATATGGTACCTCAAGCATACTTTAGATTTTACAAAATTATCAGATATCTGATAAAATGCAAATGAAACGTTGTAATATTTATATCAGAGTTCGGAACTTGCCCCATAAAGGGTCATGTGGTTGAATATTCATAACGCAATGCCGACAGTATACATCTGTCGGCAAAACCGAGTTCTAATTACAACTACACACCCTCTAACCTAACATAGTTACTGAGAGTGGAAAATTGTTATACAGGTGGATTTAGCGGCCATATAACACAAATTGTTGTCACACTCTACCCCAACGTGAAACCAATCCAGCTAACATAGTAATAACTTCCTTAAATTCTGAAGGATATTCCTAATTATTTCTCGTCCTTTAAGAAATTTGCCACCATCTAAATACCATGTAATCTGGCATTCTTATTCTCCGACAACTTACCATTCATTTCCCGCTTGATAACAGAGCAAAACCCATTATTGTTGTTCTTGCTGCTTGGCTCATCAACATCTTATCATGTGTATCGGGAATCGTGAATATACCCGCCATATGACATTCAATGGGTTTCTTCATCAAACTAATTGCCGATATCGTTTCCCACGAACGGATGGGCGGTAAGAAGAGGCACCTCCAACCTTTTGATTTTAACTCTTCACCTTTCAAAACATGACACATTCGAATCCAACAACTGAACGAACAAATGGGCGAAGGAACAAAAACCCTAGCCATTCAATACATTCTCATTCTCATAAACAAATGTCATATGTCCTGGCCATTGCCACTGCTGCTGCTTCTGATACTGCTATCAACCGGCTTCTTCAATATCAGCCAAAGCATTACGCTCTTAGCATGTTTATGGGAATTTTCTTCTTTTTGTTGTTTCGCTTTCTTTTCCGGCGTCGCTTTTTTTGTATAGCCCTTTTTTGTGTAGTGCCATTCCGTTTGATGTGTGTGGTTACTATATGTTGTTGCTATTTGTTGTTGTCATCAACATTGTCGTTGTCATTGCTCATGGTCTATCTGTCCGTCCGTCCTCCATTCGTCCGTCGGCTTGTCTAGGTTTTAGTGCGTTTTGCACAGCAACTCGTATGTGAATAAATGAATGAATGAACTGTGGAGGAAAGGTTACTATTTGTTTGTCTCCTTTTCCTGTATCCCTCCCGTTTTGCTTTGTACCTTTGTGCATGCATACATACATACATATGTATGTACATTCATATAGCTAGCATGTCCGTTTGTCTGTCTTTTGCTCCTTTCATCCGGTTGTATTTTATTCGAACGCAAAAAAAAAGAGGAAATTCATTGCAACAATGGCTTTTGCGTGTGTTGTCGACACCAGTGACACCAGGAGGAATAGTAGCAGCAGCAGTAGCATCATTACAAACAGCCAACCAACCGAACCAGCCATCCTACAGCCTTTGGCAACAAAGGCCACATGAAGATGCCGCGGGATATTTCAGGGCAGGGGGTAAACTTTTACATGATAACATGATTATTTTAATTAAACCTTAAGCTAGGGCAATGATTTTTCATTACATGTGCCATACCAGTCAGCCTGTTACCCATCCATCTATTTACCCACCCCCACCCACAACCAACATTCATTTATTCGCCGTGTAATGAAGCATTAATGTGTGTGTGTATGTGTGAGTGTTCACGCGTGTATGAAAGCTTTGTTAAGTTTCCACTTAATAGATGGAGCTACAATCTTCTTTTGTCACAGTGCGACCCCAAAAGCACCCATTGTCGGTGTGCGAGGTCAAATTATTAAGTATCTGAGGTCATGTTGCTAATTGAGCTCTGCCATTATAAAGTCAAGTTTGCCTCTTCAGACGGAGATTCTTTGATATGGGTTAAATTTCGCCAATGGGACAGAAGTCGTAATAATCACTGCAGGATACAATTCTGAGTTACACTCATCTACATATAACTTGAATGGATATTATTACCTCCTCAAAATGTCAATATTTCTTCCAATCAGATCCTTAGACTGAAGTAACCCATGGTTTGTGGTCAGTTCTTATTTCCTTCTACATTCCTACCGACACAAATAGATCCGGGCTCTAGTAGGACATTGGATATGATGAAATATTTAATGGCTCGAATAACTTCTTGCATATAAAAATATCTTCAATTGGGGGACATTTACTCCTAACAAAAATCTAAGCAGATCACCGATGAAACTGAAACCCTCTTTTGACCCCCGATTCACCTCATTGATAATTTTTACAGAATTTTGAAAATAGACACAAGCCCCTCAAATCTCTGCAACAGACATCAATGGGCCATCTACATGACGGGGTGGGAATATTCTTCCCATAATCAACAGTGTCATGGGAGTCATCCAGCCCATCTCATGCAGGTGGGGTGAAATCCACCACCAACTACTTTCAGGATAGACAGACGTCTCAATACATATTCGGTTTATACCTCCGGTACTTGCTCAAATTCGAGAGGAAGCGCTCCTGGAAGTAAAAATAAAATAAGCATGCTCTATTTTTCGAATCCACTTGAATAAATGAGAGTATGCTTTGGTCGTTTTCGAGGGAGAGTTAGTCTTTTAGTTTTTGTTATATCGTTAAGGAGCATTTTGTACACAGAATACGGCGGCACCTTGCTTCTGCTCCATTTTTGCTCTTTTTATACCCTCAGCCATATGTTTAACCTCAATATATCATTTGATACGGCCAAAACTTGCCTCATCGAAGTAATGGTTTTAGACCAGAATCCGGACCAAATCCGTTTCAATATATTTGGAGTCGATCTAGAGATGTCCGTCCTTCCGTCTGTCTGTCTGTCTGGCTGGTGCGAATGATAACTCTCGAAGGGAGTATCGGTACATCGTAATATTATTGTCAAACTTATATCATGTTCGGAGATTGGCAATATCGATCCACGCCTTCTGGTAACTTAACCACAAAAGGTCAACATTTTGAAATAAAAATATTTTGCTGTAGAGAGATTGGTCAGTGCTAGGTGAGGGCAATATCGACTTACTACATGAAATACCTCCCCCACAAAGAGTCAACATTTTGAATGACTGTGAAGATCATAAAACGCGAAATAAACATCAGATTTCATTCAGACTTGGTACATCTCAATATTTCCATGGAACACAAGATCTGTGGTAAAGATGGTAGAGAGCGGACCATTTCTTCTAGTACCTCCCCCACAAAGGTTCTCAAAGTTTTTAATAACCAAAACAATTTTAAATCCAAAATAAGCATCCGCTTATTTTCATATTTAAGATATCCCATATATCCCACAAAATCTGCAGTGAAAATGGGATGCATCGGTCTATTCCTTCTGGTACCTCCCCCACAAAGGGTCAACATTATAAATATCCATGAAACACGAAATTAACATCCGATTCGATTTCGACTTGGTTCATCTCAATATTTCCATCAACACAAGATCTGTTATAAATATGGTAGAAATCGGAGGTACTGGTACCTCCTTCACATAGGTTTGAAGATTTTGAAAACTCTCTTCAAATTTCACACATACAAAAATTTTTGCTAACACAAGGTCTGTTGTGAAGATGATATACATGTGTCAACCCCTTCTGGTACGTCACCCACAAAAGGTCACAATTTTCAATACTTTTATCTGTCACAACTTGCGATTCCTTACATCTTGCTATATCTAAATATTTCTCTCAACCGGAAATGTGAGATGAATATGGAAATTATGATTTCGCATAAAATTGGATATAAATGTGTGACTTCCTTTAAATTTTTCACGTACCAATATTTTTATCTGTATTAGATGAAGTGGAACATTTCTGTTCGCACGCATATTCCCACATTTTCCATAAAATTACACATATCTCATATAAAGTATAGGAAGTAGACGATATAGTCCAAATATGGCCGTTGTGTTATTTATATCAGAATTAGGTCAGATACGAATTGGACAATAATATCCAAGTGCTTCGGAACCTCCCCCATAGAGGGTCAACAGTTGGAATAATCAATACTCAAGGCTGAGGGTATACATCTGTCGGCAAAACCGACTGATACTTTTTAACTTGTTTTTTTTTTTTTTTTCATTTTAGCTTAAAAACGTGTCCTTTACTTCCCTAGCGTACCTCCTACACCGTGAAATGTTATGCCATGATTAACGTTCAGTAATTTGACAATTTTAATAAAGCGGCAATAAACATTACACAACGACAACAATTACGGCAGTCATTAAAACAGAATATCCGATTTTAATGTGAGAATTTTATGAGAAAAAAAAAACATGTTTTGTTTGGTGCGAAATCTCTTTTCACTTAATTAGTTTGAGTGCAAATTTACTTTGTTTTTAAATTGAAAATTTTTATTAAAATTAAATGGAGTGTTCAACTTTATGGCGGAATAAAATTGGGAAAATGTGTATTGATTTATACTAGGATATTTTACTATCGGATAGTTTTTATCGTGCTTCTTTGAACTTGAATCTTACATTTATACAAGGCTATTGGTTTTCAGAGACTTTCGTTCTTCATAATCAACATTTTTATTAATATTTTCGTTTAAAAATAAAAACATAAAAAGGATTTTTTCAATGTCCTATTCCCCTTAACTCTCTCTTTCCTCAAACAGAGACTTGCCACAAGTAGCTTTGCATGGTTCGGATTAGGCTAAAAAATTCACTCAGCTCTTAATAACATTCAATCCTCTTTTTTGATTTTCTGTAGTTATAATAAAGTGTTGATACCTTATTATCTTTATCGTGTCTTTTTTTATTCCAGGTTGAAGAGGAGCCTATTATTGTGCGAAGCAAACGCTCTGCCAATGCCCTTGGCGGAAGCACAGCACTGGACTTCGATAAAGCCGAAAAGATATTAACAAAATCTTTAAATAAAATTGCTACCGGTGAGGGTCCAGCTTATAGGTAAGATCATACACTAACATATCCATTACATAGAGACTATAGTTAATCATCATTCCTTGCTTTCCAGAATCTCCAAAATCCATTCGGCCGAAAAACAAACCGTTGCCGGTACTCTAACTAAAATAGATGCCGATTTAATCGGTGCCGATGGCGAAGAAGAACGTTGTCTTGTCGAAATTTGGACCAGAGCTTGGTTGGCCGATGGCAATGAAGTCACCATTAAGTGTCCCAAGAAGGATGTGGTCAAGAGACGCCACAGTCGTTCAGTCGAATATGCCGAAAAGAAATTACACAAAAAATCCAACCATCACAATCTCAACAAAGTCGAACATCTCTTTTCGAAATTCCAAGTAAAATACAAGCGCCATTATCACACCACCATGGAACGTCAAATGCGCATGCGCATCTTCAAGCAGAATTTGAAAATCATCCAAGAATTGAATGCCAATGAAATGGGTAGGTTTTTGGTCTGTTTTGAAATGAGGATTTGAAAGGCAAATTCAATGGCAATCGGCAAGAAGACTACCATAGCATATATAAGGTGGCCAGTAAGCCCATCTGACAACTTAGTTTGCTGTCAAAAAAACATATTTGTGATTTGACTCAAAGAGAGTCAAATTCATTGTCAAATTGCGGCCAAAGGTAGTTTTCTTGGGCGACCTTATTCCATGTATGTTTTTTTTTATTAATTATGATTTGTATTTATTTTGAAAAATACCCCTGGAATTGACCTTTTTCTTTCGAGTTCATTTTCGTATCGGCCTTTTATTTCCTAAATTACATTTAAGATTTTTATTTTTTTTAAATTCTTAAAATTCTTTTCCTCATTACAGGCAGCGCCAAATACGGCATCACCGAATTTGCCGATTTAACCAGCACTGAATACAAACAACGTACCGGTTTGTGGCAACGTGATCCCGTCAAGTCTGCAGCAACACCCAAAGCTGAGATTCCCAACATTGATTTGCCCAAAGAATTCGATTGGAGGGAGAAGGGTGTTATCTCACCAGTAGGTTTAAATTACATTTTAATATAAATTGATATAATGCAATATTTTCGATCTTCCATCTTCTTTGCAGGTTAAGAATCAAGGAAACTGCGGCTCCTGTTGGGCATTCAGTGTCACCGGTAATGTTGAAGGTTTGCATGCTGTCAAAACTGGTAAATTGGAAGAATATTCAGAACAAGAACTTTTGGATTGTGATACAACTGATTCTGCTTGCAACGGTGGTTTACCCGATAATGCCTATGAGTAAGTAAATGAAGAATATTATTGTTTGAACAGTGTTTGGCTTGCTTGTTTGGGATACCATAGTATTTTGTTGTTGCAAAAATCGTCAGGCAAAATCCCATTATTGTTGTTTTTATAAAAACAACGTTTGTTTATTAGTGGAGAACGATGGTAATGTTTACCAGGGGGTAAGGCAGGGAATACCTAGGTTTCGGAAAGAGCCACCAATCCTCATCAGTTCCCTTGTTTCTTGTCTGGGATATTCTCCCCAGAAGTTATTTAAAAAATAACTTCTATGACAAAAAACATTTTTTTACCCAAGTGACGAGATCGTAAGCTCAATAGAAGAGGAACAAAAGAATTACATAAAACTAAAATTCTTTTGGAAAATCTTCTAAATCTTACAACCGCACTTATAAACATTTACATCTTTCTCCACTTGTTATGTTTTCGTTCAACCTGAACGAAGTAACATAACCATGTAAGTTTGTTTTGTCTGTTACAACAAAAACCCCTTCGTCGACCGTGCCTGTGTCTATTAATAGAACAGTGTTTGGCTTGCTTGTTTGGGATACCATAGTATTTTGTTGTTGCAAAAATCGTCAGGCAAAATCCCATTATTGTTGTTTTTATAAAAACAACGTTTGTTTATTAGTGGAGAACGATGGTAATGTTTACCAGGGGGTAAGGCAGGGAATACCTAGGTTTCGGAAAGAGCCACCAATCCTCATCAGTTCCCTTGTTTCTTGTCTGGGATATTCTCCCCAGAAGTTATTTAAAAAATAACTTCTATGACAAAAAACATTTTTTACCCAAGTGACGAGATCGTAAGCTCAATAGAAGAGGAACAAAAGAATTACATAAAACTAAAATTCTTTTGGAAAATCTTCTAAATCTTACAACCGCACTTATAAACATTTACATCTTTCTCCACTTGTTATGTTTTCGTTCAACCTGAACGAAGTAACATAACCATGTAAGTTTGTTTTGTCTGTTACAACAAAAACCCCTTCGTCGACCGTGCCTGTGTCTATTAATAGAACAGTGTTTGGCTTGCTTGTTTGGGATACCATAGTATTTTGTTGTTGCAAAAATCGTCAGGCAAAATCCCATTATTGTTGTTTTTATAAAAACAACGTTTGTTTATTAGTGGAGAACGATGGTAATGTTTACCAGGGGGTAAGGCAGGGAATACCTAGGTTTCGGAAAGAGCCACCAATCCTCATCAGTTCCCTTGTTTCTTGTCTGGGATATTCTCCCCAGAAGTTATTTAAAAAATAACTTCTATGACAAAAAACATTTTTTACCCAAGTGACGAGATCGTAAGCTCAATAGAAGAGGAACAAAAGAATTACATAAAACTAAAATTCTTTTGGAAAATCTTCTAAATCTTACAACCGCACTTATAAACATTTACATCTTTCTCCACTTGTTATGTTTTCGTTCAACCTGAACGAAGTAACATAACCATGTAAGTTTGTTTTGTCTGTTACAACAAAAACCCCTTCGTCGACCGTGCCTGTGTCTATTAATAGAACAGTGTTTGGCTTGCTTGTTTGGGATACCATAGTATTTTGTTGTTGCAAAAATCGTCAGGCAAAATCCCATTATTGTTGTTTTTATAAAAACAACGTTTGTTTATTAGTGGAGAACGATGGTAATGTTTACCAGGGGGTAAGGCAGGGAATACCTAGGTTTCGGAAAGAGCCACCAATCCTCATCAGTTCCCTTGTTTCTTGTCTGGGATATTCTCCCCAGAAGTTATTTAAAAAATAACTTCTATGACAAAAAACATTTTTTTACCCAAGTGACGAGATCGTAAGCTCAATAGAAGAGGAACAAAAGAATTACATAAAACTAAAATTCTTTTGGAAAATCTTCTAAATCTTACAACCGCACTTATAAACATTTACATCTTTCTCCACTTGTTATGTTTTCGTTCAACCTGAACGAAGTAACATAACCATGTAAGTTTGTTTTGTCTGTTACAACAAAAACCCCTTCGTCGACCGTGCCTGTGTCTATTAATAGAACAGTGTTTGGCTTGCTTGTTTGGGATACCATAGTATTTTGTTGTTGCAAAAATCGTCAGGCAAAATCCCATTATTGTTGTTTTTATAAAAACAACGTTTGTTTATTAGTGGAGAACGATGGTAATGTTTACCAGGGGGTAAGGCAGGGAATACCTAGGTTTCGGAAAGAGCCACCAATCCTCATCAGTTCCCTTGTTTCTTGTCTGGGATATTCTCCCCAGAAGTTATTTAAAAAATAACTTCTATGACAAAAAACATTTTTTTACCCAAGTGACGAGATCGTAAGCTCAATAGAAGAGGAACAAAAGAATTACATAAAACTAAAATTCTTTTGGAAAATCTTCTAAATCTTACAACCGCACTTATAAACATTTACATCTTTCTCCACTTGTTATGTTTTCGTTCAACCTGAACGAAGTAACATAACCATGTAAGTTTGTTTTGTCTGTTACAACAAAAACCCCTTCGTCGACCGTGCCTGTGTCTATTAATAGAACAGTGTTTGGCTTGCTTGTTTGGGATACCATAGTATTTTGTTGTTGCAAAAATCGTCAGGCAAAATCCCATTATTGTTGTTTTTATAAAAACAACGTTTGTTTATTAGTGGAGAACGATGGTAATGTTTACCAGGGGGTAAGGCAGGGAATACGAAGGGGTTTTTGTTGTAACAGTCAAAACACACTTACATGGTTATGTTACTTCGTTCAGGTTGAACGAAAACATAACAAGTGGAGAAAGATGTAAATGTTTATAAGTGCGGTTGTAAGATTTAGAAGATTTTCCAAAAGAATTTTAGTTTTATGTAATTCTTTTGTTCCTCTTCTATTGAGCTTACGATCTCGTCACTTGGGTAAAAAAATGTTTTTTGTCATAGAAGTTATTTTTTAAATAACTTCTGGGGAGAATATCCCAGACAAGAAACAAGGGAACTGATGAGGATTGGTGGCTCTTTCCGAAACCTAGGTATTCCCTGCCTTACCCCCTGGTAAACATTACCATCGTTCTCCACTAATAAACAAACGTTGTTTTTATAAAAACAACAATAATGGGATTTTGCCTGACGATTTTTGCAACAACAAAATACTATGGTATCCCAAACAAGCAAGCCAAACACTGTTCTATTAATAGACACAGGCACGGTCGACGAAGGGGTTTTTGTTGTAACAGACAAAACAAACTTACATGGTTATGTTACTTCGTTCAGGTTGAACGAAAACATAACAAGTGGAGAAAGATGTAAATGTTTATAAGTGCGGTTGTAAGATTTAGAAGAATTTCCAAAAGAATTTTAGTTTTATGTAATTCTTTTGTTCCTCTTCTATTGAGCTTACGATCTCGTCACTTGGGTAAAAAATGTTTTTTGTCATAGAAGTTATTTTTTAAATAACTTCTGGGGAGAATATCCCAGACAAGAAACAAGGGAACTGATGAGGATTGGTGGCTCTTTCCGAAACCTAGGTATTCCCTGCCTTACCCCCTGGTAAACATTACCATCGTTCTCCACTAATAAACAAACGTTGTTTTTATAAAAACAACAATAATGGGATTTTGCCTGACGATTTTTGCAACAACAAAATATTATTGTTTCCATTACATATAGATATAGTGTTCATAAAATAATGAAAGGGAATGAAAGATATTAAAGAGATGAGAAGAATTTCCGGTCATATGAGGATATTTTTTCTTAATGACAAATCCGATAGATCGTTATGGTATATATTGTGGCTGCATTTTCTGTGTCGAAGGTCTAGCCTGATCACCAGTAGTTATTTCTCAGAGGTTTTAGATGAGTTCTTTTCTACGATTAGCGGAACGGCGGCAGTGCATAGTCCAGCTATAATACGAACAGTTGTTCTAATCTCTGACTTTTGAGAGAATAAATAATTGTAACAACAATGAATGCTGCTTGTTGATTTCTGATCTGGTTTTTCCTCTAACTGAAAATTAAAACAAAATGGATACCTTCATAGGCTGTAGCCAAAAATTTTCGGAATTGACTCGGATAGATTTTGCTGAGATGCGGCGTGGTGTAAGGTCTTTCTTTCCATAACTACCCTGATTTGTCTAAGCAACCGACTTTTCTCAGCAACAATGGATGAGGGGTGACCTCAGACATTAATAATGTAAGTGTTAACAGCATCAGTGCCTGCAGCAATGTGAACGCTAATCAGACCTGCCTAATAGGTTTTTTGATCTATTGGTCACTGACACGTATATGGTCGTGGGTTTTATTCTCCATATCATAGTTTTGATGTTTTAGTTTTTAGGAAGGAATTCTTGAAGATCTGAATACTCTCCCAGACCACACTGGGCCCCATAGCTAACAGACCGGCCTATCGCGTTGTAAGAGATCAACAAGGTCTCCCTGTCCACAGCCATCTAGAGGTCCTTGTTCTACTTTTAGATTTACCGCAGATAATTGTGGCTTGCAGGAACGACTTGAACATGCGTGCGAGAGCTAGTTTGCGGTCGGAATTGTTTTTGTTTTTTTTTTTGACCTTCACATTGAGCTGTTTAGTTCTCATCTTCACATATCTTGTAGTATAGAATCTAACCGTTGTCTTAATGACGGATGTTTTTTTCCTCAGTACTCAACTTCTGGGTTTGAACTTATTTTTTCCGGAATTTCACAAACTACAAATAGTTAATAATCCCACGTTTCAAACTCGGCTTGAGGATAGTGTGTCGCCTTTCAAAAATACATCATAGAATAGGGAACTCTTTTTTTCGGTTTGTTATAAAGCACAAGTATTGAACTTATCGCCGGAATTCACAACCGAAGTTAGATAACTCCGCCGCGAACCGTTTCTTAAAACTCACTCCAAATTCTAAGTGACATGTATCCAATTTATAGTTATAGTCAATGATTACGACATAAAGTTTATGAATCGATTTCCCAATTCAAACAAATACCCAATTTCATGAAGAGAATGAATGGTAAGGTAATCAGACAGGTTCCATTCAGTAATAAGTGACTTAGTACACCAATCTAGAACTGCAGTTAAATCTTTCGACACCGCAAAAAGGCAATGGCTGTGGTAGATTCCTATTTATCTGGAAAATAGGTATCGAGGAGACAGTCTCCATAACCGAGGATACCATATACGGCGAAGTCTACCAAACCACATATCTCAAAAAATATGCGGAGAAGAAGAGCAAGCCAGTGTCTACCTCAAAACTCAAGAAGGGGGTGAAGAGTATGAGGTCAACGGAGGAACAGCAACTTAAGGAGAAGAATAAGGTGACAAGTGTCTAGATACAAAACGGACCCCGAGATAAGTTGCTGTATCAACATTGATGTTCCCGATGTTATGTCGGACCGGGGTTGTAAGGTCTTAATCGTTTATACCTGCCTAAGATGTCTTTTTGTTCCCTCTATGATCCTTTCATTTTTCCCGTTCGAGGCTAGCAAGAAAATGCATTTTGTGGATTACAATCAAAATCCTTACTATGTCACTATTAATTTCCAAGTCCAGAGTAGATCCAAGTGCCGTCATCTTGTTTGAATATCCTACGAAATTTAACCCTTGAACCAAATCTGCAATCCTCTAATTCCTAGCTTCCACCACCACCTTTTAGCGTAAATATATGTTTGGAAGTGGAAACATGATCAATTTATATGATTCGATACATTAATTAAGAAAATAAATATAATGTTCTTAAATAAATATTATTTTTCCAACATTTTTTGTTACTTACAGAGCCATTGAAAGAATTGGTGGATTGGAATTGGAAAGTGAATATCCCTATCATGCCCGCAAAGAACAATGCCACTTCAATAAGGCCAAGGTTCATGTACGCGTCAAGGGTCACGTTGACTTGCCCAAAAACGAAACAGCTATGGCTCAATGGTTGATTGCCAATGGTCCCATTTCAATTGGTAAGTATATCCCCCCTATCTATCTGAGAACATTTTCATTAAAATTAAAATTCATTTTAAGGTATCAATGCCAATGCCATGCAGTTCTATCGCGGTGGTGTTTCACATCCCTGGCGTCCATTGTGCTCGCACAGCAATCTCGATCATGGTGTCTTAATTGTGGGCTATGGTGTTTCGGACTATCCCATGTTTAAGAAAACTCTACCCTATTGGATTGTTAAGAACTCGTGGGGCAGCAAATGGGGTGAACAGGGCTATTATCGTGTGTATCGTGGCGATAATACCTGTGGTGTCAGTGAGATGGCCAGTAGTGCCGTTTTAGCTGATGATTAGGATTTGTGGTCTCAAAATGTTTAAATTACACCTCTACAACATCAACAAAATAAATAAAACGACAACAACATAAAAATATATTAAAATCATTCATACCACATATTTGGGGGAAGATCCGAGGAACCAACATCAGAAAACACAGCACATATGGTACAGCATTGTATAGCATCACACCCCAAATATAATTATAATATCATCATCAAACACACAGCTGGGCCGATGGGAATGGATTTAATTGATTAAAAACCCCAACAACAAGAACAAGTTTACACACATTTTATTTTATGGTAATTAAAATAATGAATTGAATATCAAGCAAAAAACCCAAAAAAAGAAAGGTGTGCAAATCTCTTTGATAATCCTCTTACTATGGAATACCACCATAGATAGACCATCATCTCAATCCCCTGAATACCATTTCATACTGGCATTTATTGTATACTCACTCTTTCCTATATATAATCGACATCAAATTATCCAACTCATCAAAAAATATAAAAAAAAAAGAAAACTCAATAAAATCTCATCGATTTTATATTTTGTAAAACTTTATTATTTCCGATTCTTCTTCTCTTTTGTAATAAATTCATGCAAACACACACTCAAACACACATACAGTCATTTATTAACAACACTCAGCCAAGCAATAACACTCTGTTGTTTATCAAATTACTAGATCCGATTCATAAACCACTTACATGTCGTATTCTTGTATTGTTACCTTCCATTTTGTTAACGAAAGTGTAGTGCGCGTAAAATGTAAATCATTATAATAAAATAATTAATTAATAAAAACAACAAACATTTGAAAATAAAAAAAACCAACAATCCTTTTACAAGGACTTGTGTTTTAATCATTCTCGTATTCACTTAATTTGAGCAGCAACAAACGCAATTTACGCGCCTCCAGGCCAATGGTCAAAGGTTCGGCCGGCACTTCATCGGATGCGCTGTAAATGTTGGCTGGTGTAAAGATGCCATTAACTGAAATGGAAATAATTAAAAACAGTAAAATTATACTCGGATATAAAAAGTGAAAGTGCGTTAAAGGCCACTTAATTAAAATAAGCGAAATGTTATAGAATTAATTTATTTGAATGGGATTTGTTGTTGCTGGCTTCGCTTTGTTGCATTAATCATGAGGCAGAATGAATACCAATGAAAGAAACTCATTTTTTTAATTGAACCTCTGTGGTCGACAATGAATCCATTTTAATCAGCTCAAATGCATTTATGTTATAAGGTTAGATAATTAAAATTATTTTTGCGCAATAAGAACAAGCTGACTTCAATAAAGGAAAATATTTTGCAAAGCACCCATTCCCCCATCAGATGTCTTGATTATGTGGTATGCTGATGACCATCATCAGACGTTAATATTAACAGCTTAGGTGTTAAGATATTCGAATACTTCGAATTAAGCCTATTCGATCCTTTATGTGTAGTATTGGTGCGCAATATTAATTAAATAACAAAACAAGTTTATTATTATTTAAATATAATTTGACCTGTGTTACAATTATTCAAAAGTTTTACCCTCTATGGAGCAGGTTCCGAAGGAATGGACCAATATTGTCTATTTCGTATCGGACCCCAAATTATGATATAAATATTCCGACGTTCCTGGTATGGATTATATCGACTAACTCCTTCACTATGTATGAGATATGTAATAATTTTTAGAAAATGTTAAAATGTGTGTGATGTACAAGATAGAGTCTACCGAAATATTCCACTTTTATACTTCATTTGATACAAATAAAAAATATTGAGCGAAATATTTGGCAACAATAAAAGAAAGGATATTTATGTCCAATTTTATGCGAAATCATAAATTCCGATAAATTTCATATTCATATCAGGCTTCTTGTTTAGAGAAATATTTGAGCATAGCAAGTAGTAAAGAATTGCTAAATTGTTTCGAAAGTTATGACAGATAAAATTATTGAAAATTGTGATCCCAGAAGGGGTTGGCAGATATATATTAACTTCACAACCGATCTTGTGTTAGCAAAAATATTTGTATGTGTGAAATTTGAGGAGAGTTGGATGTTTATTTCGCTTTATTTGGGCGTTCGTTTTTCAAAACCTTGAACCCTATGTATGGGGGAGAAGTAATGGTTCGATCTATACCACCTTTATAACAGATCTTGTGTTGATAGAAATGTTGAGATGAGCCAAGTCTAAATGGAATCGGATGTTAATTTGGCGTTTTATTAGCTTCATGGGTATTCAAAATATCGACACTTTGTGGGGGAGGTACAAGAAGAAGTGGGCCGATACATTCCATTTTCGCACCAGACCTTGGACTAATAAAATTATTGGGATGTGTGAAATTTGAAGACTATTTGTCCATTTTCGCACATAACCTAACACTGATGAAAATATTAGGATTCGCAAAGTTCCAGAAAAATCGGATTATCCTTTCTCTTATTATTTTCTTAGAAAATTTTGACATTTTGTGTGGGAGGTACCAGAAGGAGTGGACCGATATTGGCCATCTCCGAACTCGATCTAAGTTTGACAAAAATATTACGATGTACCAAGTTTGGATCAAATCGAATACTCCCTTCGAGAGTTATCGTGCGCACCAGTCAGCCAGACAGACAGACGGATGGACGGACATCGGTAGATCGACTCCAAATGTTCTGAAACGGATTTGGTCCAAAAAGACCTAGGGTCTAAAACCGTTATTTCGACTAGGCACGTTTTGACCGTATCAAATGATATATACCCTCTGTAGCCATATGGCTGAGGATATAATTAGAACAAATGAAAATTTGACGAAAATATCGATTCCAAATGAAAACCAGTAAGGAAAGGCCAAAAATCGGGCGGGGCCGACTATATCATACCCTACACCACTATGTGTATTTAGTATAGCTCCCGTAACAAAAAAGTTTATTTTGGGAATTTAAGTGAAGAAGATCATACCAACTATGATCTGTATAGTGCATCATATGACTTCGATAAGGATTATATTAAAAAATATTCATTGGAACAATATATATACCGGACCGGGTTTCACCAAATGGTAAAATTCGGTTGGATATGAAAAACAAAATTATTTAATTTGGGCTGATATCACATATATGGTGAGCAATAACCGTAAAATCGGATGAAGATGTGTATAGCAGCTATATAAAAATCTGAACCGATCTCGATGAAATTTAGCAGAGGTATTTTCGAGCATTATCTGATGCCCGTTTGATACCGGGCATCAGATAATGCTCGAAAATACCTCTGCTAAATTTCATCGAGATCGGTTCAGATTTTTATATAGCTGCTATACACATCTTCATCCGATTTTACGGTTATTGCTCACCATATATGTGATATCTATAATTGTTGAGGAGTGCATATTACACAAGTGAGGGACTTTAACACCAAATCGGATGAAACTTATATATTAGCTCCCATATATAGCTATATATGAACCAAATTTGATGTACTTGCTTCTAGATTGAATTCGGTCGAATGTGACAAAATGCAGGTCATTTGGACTGATATTGGCCGTTTGGTGATATTGGTCGAAATCGGTTTAAGATATATATATATATGTAAATTTGAACCGATTTTCACCAATTTCAATAAAGTTCGTCCTTGGGTCAAGCAAAAAAATTTCAGAAAGTAATTCTGTGAAGATCCTCAAAAGTCACTATGGGCCTATATCGCTTTCTTCTCCATGTTACAAACAAATGCACAAAGACTTTATACCCTTACCATTATGTGGTGTAGGTTATAACCAGTACATTTAGTAAACCTGTATTTAGGGAATTTATGTAAACTAGATAATACACCATGATGATAATTTGACATCGAAAGGAACTAATATATGGTATATCGCAATCTGAATCGATTTCCACAAAATTTGACGGAGGCATTTTGAGTATCTCGACTTTGAGTACTCTTAGATTGAAACATATGCATCTAGATCTGAACGGATATTCCCCAAAATCTATTCCATTTGAGTTTTTAGTGGGGCATGAACGTGAAATCGGATGAAAATATATAAGAGCTATATCTAAATCTGAACCGTTCTCTTTACAAATGAACAGAGGTATTTGTACACTGTCTTTGATAGCTGGAACCAAAGATCCTTCCTATGTAGTGTGAGGGATATAAATATAAAATCAAGTAACAATATATATGGGACCCATAGTTATATCTGAACCGATTTTCACCAAATTTGGCACACTTTCTTTCAGGCTAAATCCGGCCGATAAAAACTATTAAATTTAGGCTGATATTAACCATTCACAATAAAATCGGGGTTATATATGAGCGCTACATCTAAATCTGAACCGACAAAGGTATTTCTGAGCTGCATTTGATATCTTTTCCTGAATATTGTTGTTATGGAGTTCATATTACGGCTGTGAGGGACAAAAACAACAAATCGGATGGATATATGGGAGCTACATCTGAACAGATTTTCACCAAATTTGACACACTCTCTTCTAGGCTGAATTCGATTATGTGTGCCAAATTCCATCCTATTTGGGATTATGTTACACAGTAGGTGCACGATAAAAGGCAATTCAGACAATGATATATACAGGAACTATATCTAAATATTCTTCCTTGGGTCAAATAATTGATTTGTGCAAAATTTCATCTCGATCGGGCGATAAATGCGAACTTTGTACTTTGGTCCCAAAAATACGTGGACAGGAAGACGGTCGAACATCTATAAATCGACTCATAAAGAGATTCAAAGAGGATCCGCTAAAGTAACTATGGGTCTATCTCGTTTCCTTCTCCATGTTACAAACAAATGGAGAAAGGCATAATACCCTGACCACAGTGTGGTGTAGAGTTAAAAAAATATGTAGACATAGTTATGTTCAATTTGGGGCACAAAGCAGGTGAGTTTCGTATAAGGAAATCTTCAAAAGACGCATCAAACAAGCCCAGCTTAGGCGTGGGATACAATTGAAATGTATTAAACATCAAAGTGTTCCTTTACGAAATACAATTTTAAGCATACCGAGTCCCTGTTTAGTCTACTCATAGATGGCCTGTCAGAAATTCGGAGGTTTATTACATACCTTTCAGAAGTATCATACATACAAATAATAAGAGTTTTTGACAGAATCGTGGTGGTTGAATACAAAGGCATATGATAAGATGCGGCATTTCACTGTTGCTGTTGCTGGTATTGGAGAACTATGTCATGACACCATATCGTAACATTGCAGTTATAATGTAACATAGCGGACACTTTAACAGGATTTTCGCGAATTTTATATAACGCAATTTTTATATTAACACCATTTTTTTCACGAAATCAAAGTGAATTTTCTAATGCATTTTTGACATGTCGTCGGCCATTTGCCTTTTGTTCAATCTTTACAGTTTTATGCCAGCCTCAGGTTTTAAGTTCTCTGGCGTAACTTTGCCCGATTTGGAAGAGTTACACAAGGAAACTGTCCTTATTACGATCAGCGGGGCTTCCATAATACGACCTTAACGTTTATTAATCAACTTGGGATGTATTATATGGGACATTGCAGTATTTTAGAAGTCTATGACGTTTTATACTTTTTCTACGTTTTTTATACGTATGTGATGTTCGCAACTTTTCGACAGTCGAAAACCTAAAAAACTGTCAAACAGTCCATCTCTGAGTCTACATTTTCGAAATCGTTCAAAACTTATTTCTGTTCTTACTGGTTCATGGTATATTTGAAATATTCTATGATAAAAGTTCGACCTAAAACCCCACTTTTCTACTATTCTGAGAATGAGAGAGCGCTCAGTGTAATAAGCTAGATTTTACAACTCTACTCATTTTTTCTAGCCTTTCAGATAATGACAACTATCAACTATTATAAGGAAGTCCAAATATCTGCACAAATAAACTTTTCCCCGGTTCACTCACCTTCACACGATTTCAAAAAGCTCATAACTTCCTGCACCGATGGATATGCCAATATGATATTCTGCTTCGCCATTCCCGTCAGAAGGCCCAAAATACAGCGCTTCACATGTAACCATGTATCGGCATAGAGGCGGGCACCCGAACCATTCTCCAGGGCATGGGCGATGCGTGACAAACCGAATTCATAATTCGACTTGGCACAATACAGGGTGCCAACCACCAAATTCACGATGCACAAATGATGATACTGCTTGCCCAGGTTGCCCTTGAGCTCTTCGGCTTTTTCGACTTTGCGCATCAACTCCTCAGCTTCTTCGTTTTGAAAGGTCATGATGTAGGAGACGCAAAGGTTTGCCAAAACGGCCGCCGAAACAGACATGATCTGAAAAAAGAAAAATCTTATTTTATAAATCAAATAACTGACAGACGTGATTTCCTAACATCATCGCCATGCTGGCGCACAATGGGTTCATAGAATGCTGCTGCCTCCTTGTACTTATCACCCTGCATAAATAGAACATGCCCAGCATTTAAACGCCATATGGGATTTTCCGAACAAAACTCAGCGCTGGAACGAAATTCTCGTTCAGCTCCAACAAAATCATCATCCCTCCAAGATATCCATGCGCGGGCCATGACCACGGGTAAATATCTGGAATTTGTAAAACCATTACACAACAGAAAATTGATATACCAATGTTCTGCCTACTTACAATTCCAAGGCATTTTCATAGTCTTTCAGGGCCGTCCTTAAAGCATTCTGATCTGTGGTGGAACGCACCTCTTGAACCTTAGCCGCCAAACTTCGCAGCTTTCCGGCCAAACTTGAGGCCAATGTTCCCAATTTCTTTTCAGCTGATTCTGCCGAGGCCTGGGCCGTTATTAAGGCATCCAATAGTTCATAGAGGTACTGAAATAATCGATGTGATAATTATTTCTCTGGGTTCTCCGCTTTGCATTATTTAGCAACTCACCTGCGACAGATATTTGTAGGTCAAATCGGTGTGTTCAGCCAAAATGTCGGCTGCCGTTTCATACAGCTCATGCTTACAACAGATCAAAAGAATATTAGCAAAGGTTTCTTTTGGACAGGCCGGTGGTCCCAAGTCAAGCAGAAAGGCCAATTTCCTTAAACCTGCCACAGGCCCTTGAGGGTCGGTCAGGGCCATGTTGTGTAATGTAACCGGATCTAATTCACTCTCAGCTCGGGGTGGTAAATCCAAAAGAGCATCTCTGGCAGCGTCGACTGTTGCAAAGAAAGAAAATAATATTATACAAATATTCTACGATACCCACGAGGAGTGCGAATATGTATCTTCACTAAACCGTAGCAGAAGTATATATCAGAAGCTACCTCGAACTTTTCTCCTTTTTTCCTGTTCAAAATTTTGACCTTTATGGAGGAGGTACCAGAAGGTGTGAGCCGGTATATTCCATTTTCACACCCTATCTTGTAATGGTTAAAATATTGGGATGTGCGATATTTAAAGAAAATCTGATGCATATTTCGCATTTTATGAGCGTTTTCGATATTCTAATTTTTTTATGCTTTGTAAAGAAGGCATACCAAGGAGTGATTCGATATATCATATCTTCACATCAGATCTTGTTTTGGTAGAAATATTGGGATGTGCGAAGTTTTAAAATAATTGGATGCGTATTAAGCGTTTTGGTTATTCAACATTTTGACCAGACCATTTTGTAATGGTAAATACAGGGTAAGATAAGAAAACTGTAACAAAGTCAAACGCCATAATTTTTACATTTTTTTTTTAAATTTCGAAATGTCGGAAATAGCATCAAATTTTAGAATAAGTTTAGATTTGTTCGAATTGGTCACCTTTGGCACGAATTATGACCATCAAACGGCCAATGCTGCCCGAATGTTGCTCTGCGGTATATTGGCCCATTCCCGGCGAAGCGCTTGCTTGATGTGATCGATACTTTGGTATTTTTTCGTGTCGACCTTGCTTTCCAAAATACTCCAGACACAATAGTCCAACGGGTTGGTATCCATAGATTTTAGTGGTCATTGAGCGCTGGAAATGAAGCGAGGAACCCCATTTTGTAACCATTCTTCGGTGGTGGGTGCTGAGTGCGATGGTGCTGAGTCCTGTTGGAATGTCCTAGGACTGCGGAAAAAACATTTGCGAGCCTTTAATACAAGGCTTTAATACACCCTCCAGAATATTTTTGCTATAATATTCGGCATTTATTATGATGCCACGGTCGATTAATACGAACGGAGAGCGACCATCGTCTGTTATGGCGGCCCACACCATCACCATGGCCGGCGCTTGAGTTCTGGTGGCTAACCAAAGGTGCACCTTTTCAGTTAACCTTTTTGGCAAGTTGTTTGTTTAAAAACTGTCGGACAACGAATGTTTCCTCATCGGAGAAAACCAAATTTGGCAGTTCACCACTTTCGGCCAAGCGAAGCAACTCTTTAGCTCTTTTGAGTCTATTTTCTTTCTGTTGCGGTGTAAGTTCTTGCACTTTTTGGAATTTCAATGGCTTTACCCCGAGCTCATTTATTAATATTTGCCGAATGGAATATTGCGATATGTTCAGCTCACGAACCATTTTTCGGCCACTGTGACGCGGGTTTCGATCAAGTAGCTTCTTTACTTTTCGAACCATTTCTGCTGATGTTGCTGTTTTCTTCCGTCCACTTCCTAGACATCGGGCTACGCTACCAGTATCACGGTAACGAACGATGGTACGAGACAGAAAAGATTTATTCACATTTATATGCTGGAGTGCTCTAACGATAGCCACTTGTGGTTTTCCAGCCAAATATAAAGAAATCACACTATCACGCTTGAATTCCATCACGAATAACTTTTTTTCTGGAAAATGCTCAACAAAATGCTTTTGTAAACAATATAATGAGCTGTCACTGGAATAATTTTTATAGCTGTCGGACGAGTGGCTTAGAAATGATAGCAGTCTGAAGTTGGTTGTAGTTTTTTCATTTCACCCTGTATATTGGTATGAGTGGATATTCCAAATTTGGACCCTTCGTGGGGGAGTTACTAGAAGGAGTAGTCCGATCTTGCCTATTGCACAAAATCGGATTATCCATTCTCTTCATATGCGGTAAATTATTTTCTATGAAAATGTCTACCTTTTGTGGGGAGGTACCATGTTCGAACTCGCTCTAAGTTTGACGAAAATATTATTAGATCGACTCTAAATGTCCTGAAACGGATTTGGTCCAAAGATACCTAGGGTCTAAAATCGTTTTTTTTTTTTTTCTTTTCATATGGCTGAGGGTATAATTTTCACATTTTGGTGCATCACTTAAACCCTTCTCGGACACATTTTGAGTCGATTTGGCTGGAAATTAGGAAATATTTTCGAGTTTTTTTACGCTTTGTTGGATTTTTTTATTTAGACCACAAAATGTGTTTTTGATGTACAATTCCTAGATAAAATTTAGGATCTACAGTAGAATCGTATGACAAATAATTTTGTAGAATATTTTCATTTGCTACGAATCCGTTTAAAGGGATTGGTTAAGCATATTTTGAAAAAGGACCAAAAGGACCTCTTTGGCGAATAAAAAACAAGTTAAAAAGCAGTAAGTTCGGCCGGGCCGAACTTTGAATACCCTCCCCCATTTGGAATGAATTTGGAAATAAAATCCTTAAATCCTTAGCCGTTATATTGTTGTCTATATGACGTGGACCTACATGGGCATTGTTTGTCATAAGTCATTACCATATTCAAATTCGAAACTTGAAATAAACGGTAAATAATGTGGCTGAAATCATCAAAATATCGTATATAGGGAGGTGCGTTATATCGGAGCTGTGCGAAGACCTGGACCTGCATAGGCAATTTTCTGCCATAGGTTGTAGCATCCATTACGAACTTCAAATATGGTAGGTATAGTACCTAAACTCGTCAAAATACCGAATATAGGAAGGTACTGGTATGTGGGGCCCATACGAAGACCTGGACCTGCATAGACAATTTTCTGTCACAGACTGTAGTTCCCATTACGAGCTCTACATACGTAATTTGAAACAATTCCGGTGAATAATGACGCTAAAATCATCAAAATACCGAATATAGGGAGGTACCGTTATATGGGGGCCATACGACGACGTGGACCTGCACATACAGTTTTCTGTCTTAGGCTGTAGTATCCATTTCGAACTTCAAATACCAAATTTGAAACAATTCCGGTGAATAATGTCGCTAGAATCATCAAAATACCGAATATCGGGAGGTACCGTTATATGGGGCCTATATGAAAACGAGGTCCACGTTTTGGCCCAGTTACGAACTTAAACTGCCTACTGGAAAAATAATATCTCAATTCGTTCGAAAGATAGCGTGATTACAACAGACAGACGGACATGGCTAAATCTACTTAGAATTTTACGCTGATCAAGAATATATATACTTGGTTGGGTCTGACATGAGTATTTCGAGGAGTTACAAACGGAATGACAAAGTTAATATACCCTCCATAATATGGTGGAGGGTATAAAAAAATTCTCGTGTTATTATCTGCAATATTGTTGCTGACACTATATACCTAAAATGTAAGAATTCCGAAATTTTGCAAAATTGTTGAAGAGGGGCGAAACTTGTCTCCCCTTATTTTGGTCGCTTTGCGATGTAAATTTTCAAACCGCCGATACATGTGGCTTCTTTTTTGGCTCTACTTTCATAATTAGCTGGATTCCCCGCTATTATTTTTTTGTGTTGCTCTGTGTAATTTAAGATTGAGTAACGATGTATATAACCATTTGGATACTCGGTACCCTTTTTGTACCATAAATATCCAGAATGATGTTATGCAGGAAAATTTTTCTTTTACGTAGACAAAATCACACAAATGTCCTGCTTACGCTCTAGCCCACATGAATTAAGCTCTTCCAACAGATTTCGAAAATACACTTGGATAACTTACCATTTCCATCATTATATTCAATGGCTGCCTTCAAATTGAGAGCCTGTGTTATGCCGGAGAGAGCCATTGTTATGGGATTACCCACGCTACGAGCACTGCCATCGGTATCAATTTGGGCTCCGATACCCAATTCCGGATGATTTCTAATGCCACGTTCCACGATTTCAGCTGTGGCAAATAAACAACACATTAGTCTCCATCGCCCTAAAATCGCCCCCCCCCCCAATATTTACCAGTATAGTCAATGGCCTGGGTCTTCTCCTTCTTGCGAAAATGTGACAAGGCCAAATTGTAAGCTATCAGAGGATTGAAACCACCAACTTGCAAGGCCGTGCTGAATCGTTGCACAGCACTGTCATATTGATCGGCTTGATAGAGGAGACACCCCTCGTCGTTGAGGGTTTCCGCCGTGCCACCACTGCGCTGATTCAAAACACTCTGAGCTCCGGCATAATCTTCACTTGAATAGAGAATGGCACTCTGCAATTGCAAACATTGCTCCTTGAGTTCTACATTATCGCTGATTTGTTTCAGAACTTTTAAGGCATCCACAAATATACCGGCTTGATACAAAGATTGGGCATAATAGAACCTGCGAGTGAGGGCAACATTCTTAATAATAAAATCCCCTTTTAAAGGATAATGACACTCACTTGTATTTGGCCACCTTGGGCACCAAATTGCACAACTGTTCATAGCAGGTGGCTGCCTCTTCATACTTCTGGGCATGATAATAACAATAGCCCAGTGTAGACAAACCGGCTCTGGTATTGGCTGCCTCGCCCAAATTTATAATGCACTCAATGACATCCTCATAGCGTTTGTCCTTTATCTATTTGTGGGAGGATGCCGGATAGTGGCGTGAGAGGCAAACAAACAAAAACATAATCAGTAGGGATTATTTAATTTTGTTTCGGAAGTGTCTAGCCCACATCCAAAACCAAATTTAGTATTCCCTTCCCCGGATGTGTTGCATATTTACCAGATTGTAAATAGTTCGTGTTATATGGCCTTCGCGAAGGATTATGCCTTGATGCAGCATTTTTTATATCCTCTTAAATCAAATGTGTGTGATTTTTTCACTTCGTTCTTTTGCGTTTTAGATATTTGGCTTTCCTTTTTTCTGTTAGTTTTTGTATTGCACTTTAAAAAGGATATGAAAATGGTTTCCATGGCAACTATTCAAATGCAGTTGGTTACCAGGCAATAACATTTGAAGGTGGTAAAACGAATTTCAACCCTAATTTAAATAAAACATTGACCGTTAGTCACATGAAAATAATTAATTTTAAAATGCCGATGCCATTTGTGTTTTAAGAATTAAAATTAAAAACAAGTAAAAAAGTATCAATCCGGCAAAACCCGACAGATGTATACCCTCAGCCAATTTCGATTATTTAAAAATATTTTGACTTCTGTTACGATTATTCAAATGTTTAACCCCTTATGCAGTTTGTTCCGAAGGAATTGGCCAATATTGGCAATTTCGTATCGGACATAAATATATATGATATAAATATTGCGACTTGCTTGTGGGGGCGGTACCAGAAGGAGTGTGGGGGAGGTACCAGAAGGAGTGGACCGATATAATCCATCATAACACCAAGGTCTGGTTAATATAAATATTGGGATGTGTGAAATTTGAAGACAATTGGACTCTTACATCACATTATATGTGAGTTTTAATTATTCAACTTTTGACCATTTGTGGGGGAGGTACTTGATGGAGTGGACCATTTTCACACCTGACCTAGCACTGACACAAATATTAGGATTTGCAAAGTTGGAGCAAAATCGGATTATAGTTTCTCTTTCTGTGCAAAAAATATATTTTTTGCAAATTTCGACTATTTGTGGGGGAGGTACCAGAAGAAGTGGACTGATATTACCCATCTCCGAACTTGATCTAAGTTTGAAAAAAATATTGCGATGTACCAAGTTTGGACCAAATCGGATATTCCCTTCGAGAGTTATCGTGTGCACCAGCCAGCCAGACAGACGGACGGACATCTCTAGATCGACTCCAAATGTTCTGAAACGGATTTGGTCCAAAGAGACCTAGGGTCTAAAACCGTTATTTCGACTAGGCACGTTTTGACCGTATCAAATTGTATATACGCTCTGTATCCATATGGCTGAGGGTATAATAAATATGTATATTGAGGATTTCAGTAAACCCTATTGTTAAAAAGATAGTGTTCCTGGACCAAGGCGATGTCGATATTTGACGCAGAGAGGGTTAGCAGGAGTTCAGCAGCCGAGGTTTTGCGCTAATCTAGATTAATCTGTTCCAGGGCTAGGTCAGACTCCCTATCCTCTACTACTTGGTTTGTGGGAAGCGAAAGCTTCTATCGGTAGCTACCTTAAGAACCATCGCGCTCTTCTAAATAAAGAAATTTAACACACGCCAATTTCCAGTACTAAGACCACCATTCTCCTTCTTAAAAATCTTCTGGATCTCCTTCAACTCCATTATAGGAGGATGAATCCACACTGAAGCCACCATTCCGCATCGGATCTCCGAGACAGGCACAGCGGCGACCTTGCTTCCTTTTAGAAGGATTCAAAACAATTAACAACGGATATTAGGAAATTCTTTATTTTAGCAAGTAAAGACCCTGGATCCCCTATAGAGTGATTCTCTGCAGCCAATGATTCTCGCTGATAAACCCATTGGGTTCATCCTGACTGCTACTCTAAAGTTGTCCGGCATCATCCGTTGAGCAGCTTTATTGTCTTGCTTCGGTTTTGGGTCTCAAGGTTTCTGCGAACCGACAAGAACGGCTTTCGGCTTTCTATAAGTGTGCTTCCCACTATCATTATTTGCCGCCAACGAAGCATACGAGACGGACTGTTGTAATGTCTGCGTCGTCACAATTTGACTGATGCGGTCCCTCCATAGCCTTGGCTGAGAAAGGGACTTGGTCTCCTTTGATGCTGCTTCCTTCAGTGAGACAAGACAACCTTATGCTCGCTTGCTGTAGCTTTAGTCGTGGTTGACTTTGCCCTGTCGGTCTGTAGCTTCACCACATTCTCCGTTGTAAAGTGTTGCGTTGATGAATCAACTGATGGACTCGGAAAAATCGACAATAAAAAGTACGGAAGGTAAATATGGAACGGATTAAGTTTGCCATTCCGATTGTTACACCTCGAAAAATACGGTTTAGACCCCACAAAGAAAAGTTACGAATTTTTGCTTATTTTAGTCGAAATTTTTACCAGAAATTGTTTCAAATTTGGTATTTGCAGTTCCTAATGGGTTCTATCTCCAATGACAAATTTTAGTAGCATTTTCAACGTAATATTAACTTTGTAATTCCGTTTGTAACTCCTCGAAATACTCATATCATACGCAACCAAGTGTATATGGATATTCTTGATCAGCGTAAAATTCTAAGTCGATTTAGCGATGTCCGTCTGCCTGTCTGTTGTAATTTCGATATCTTTTGAACGAATTGTGAAAGAAGGCTTAAATTTTGCACACATGTATTTTGCCAGTAGGCATGTAAAGTTCGTAAATGGGATATGCCGGTCTCGTATAGCCCCCATATAACGGTTCCTCCCAATATTCGCAATTTTAAAGATTCTAGGGACATTATATACAGATATTGTTTCAAATTGCATATTTGACGTGCGTAAGGAGTACTACAACCTATGGCAGAAAATTGCCTATGCAGATCATGTATATCCCCTATATAACGGTACCCCCCAATATTCGGTATTTTTATGATTTTAGAGACCTTATAGCCTGGAATTTTTTCAAAATTGGTATTTAAAGCTTATAATGAGTACTACAGCTTATGACACATGCAGATCCACGTCTTCGTATAGGCCCTATATATCGGTACCTCCCAAGGTTCGGTATTTTCATGATTGTAGCGACTTTATTAGGCGGAATTGGTAGGATAGCTACCATCGTATTGTGTACTAATTTTATTTTCTTCTTGAGTTATAAGCATTATAACAACAACAGCAACAATCGACCCACCATTGTGGAGGAGGCTCATCAAAACATCGACCAATATAACCTACCGACAATAAAATTTAAGTCGTTTTTTTATTGGCCCTAGAGAAGTTTGACATAGTTAAAATCCATAAAAAATCGGAATGACGGAATTTTCAGCCTTTTCATCATCTTGGATTCTTTTCACAGTGTTATCTGTCATTCTGTCAGTCATTAAATTAAATATTAGTCAATTTTTGTTGTTAAGGATAGACATCACTCCTAATTCAGTCAAGATATTTTCCCAATCGTACAATGCATTCATTTCAGATGATATGAGGACGTCAACATAATGGAATGCTCTGGCTGAGATTTACAACACACATTAAATTACAATCCCGAGGATGAATAACTGACCCGATCAAGTTCATTTTATCTGCATCGCATGACAAATCGCAGAGAAAGGCTTTACCGAATCGTAAATTCCATCACTTCGGCTACTTTGTTTTCATTTTAACTGGTTCGTAACTTTGAAATTGCATTTTCTTTGTGGACAACCGAAAACCTAATCGTTCGTGTAGGCTTAACAGCCAGCTCCCTTATCATGCCAAATTCTTGGTAACCTGCCGTAAAGCCCAACAATGTGAGAATTGTTTGGCGTTATTTTTGTTGTTTGCGAAAAATGCTCCCCCTCCATATTTCATGGATGATTGTGTTCTTCAGAACAAACAGAATATTACATTATCGCGTGCGGCTGACAAACGCCAGCGTCGGTGACTGTGATAAGATACGGGCGACACACCCGGTTCATTTTATGGCAAAGCCGACAAATAATATTTTCAAATTAGCTCTTCGATTGGATACCATCGAAAGTTGCGGCATTCAGAATGGATTTCTCCACAGCAGCAGTCGTGCGTTACCTTCTCCTAATCGTGGCTGTGTTAAACAGTGCGTCGAGAAGTCACGGCACCGGCTACCCTGATGACTGTTTCGATCACTACACGGCAGTGCAGAATGAAAACGTTTTGAAAAATCAAAATCTAACGTTGGCATGTAAAGATGAAAATACCAGGGGAATTTCCAATAGAATATCCAAAAAATCTGGTTTTGATGTTGAATTCGAAAAGGAAAATTTCGCCCAGACTGCCGATGAAATGTGTAACAACATGAAAGTGTGTGAGGATCTGGAGGATCCTAGAGAATTTTTGCAGTGCTACATTAAGGCGGTAAGTTGTGGTTTTATTAATTCCTTTTTGGAATAATATATTTTGAAATGGATTTTGATTTTTAGACTCAAGACGGCTTCCACAAGTCCATGCATATGAATTTCAATGCCACACTGATTCTCATTGAACTCAACGATGAGTATGAGGAAAACGATAAAGGGGTCATGAGATGCATTCAAAGGTCGAAAGAAGTGTTTGTGAAAGAATCATTAGCGGAATATAATCGATTGTTACAGTGCTTGGGATACTGATCTAATATTGTTATTAAAGATGTCGTATGAAAAATAAAAACGAAAGATCGTCTCTTAAAAACAATCGAAAAGGTGGTTTGTTTATATCGGATTCAGTAAGGAAACAATTATAGTCAGATACTGAATCGGGTGAAACATATATGTATGACACCCGTATCTAAAAAAAACGAATCTGTCAGGATTCTGAAACAAATCCAAAGTTGCTTAGAAAACTACGACTGAATAGAGAGGAAAGGTGTCGACGTTGTCAACAATAAACTTTCACATAATGGATTTTTGACCATAAACGAAATAACCTGGGTGACGGACAAGACAAGGAGAGAAATAAGAAGTAAAAAAGCTGTAAGTTCGGCCGGGACGAACTTTGAATACCCTCCACCATTTGAAACGAATTTGGCAATTTTCTAAAACAATAAAATCCGTTATATGGGGGCTCTACGAAGACGTGGACCTGACAGACAATTTTCTGTCTTAGTATCCATTACGAACTTCAAATACAAAATTGGAAACAATTCCGATAAATAATGTCGCTAAAATCATATGTTGCATATGACCTCTCGAACCAAATATCATTGCCATGGAGTGAATGTTATGACTTTTAGAATACTTAAATGTAAAATCCTTGATGTATTATTTACAACAAATTGGAGGGAAATATATTATATGGGAGATATATCTGATCTGAATCGATCTCGTATAAAACTTGACAGAGGTATTTTTAGGATGCACCGAAAATCCTTGTTACTGAGTTTATAATACGGATTTGTGGGACTTACATATAAAATCGGATTAAATATATATGTAAATGGGATCTATAGCTATATCTTAAACCATTTCCACCAAATTTAAAAAAAAATATTCATAGGCCGAATTAAATTAATTAATACGTGTGTTCTAAAATATATCAAATATTGGTATATACAGGGTGAGATGAAAAAACTGCAACCAACTTCAGACTGCTGTCATTTCTAAGCCATTCGTCCGACAGCTGTTAAAATTATTCCAGTGACAGCACATTATAATGTTTACAAGCGTACAAAAGCATTTTGGTGAGAATTTTCCAGAAAAAAGTTATTCGTGATGCAATTCAAGCGCGATCGTGTGATTTCTCCACTCCAGCATTTAAATGTGAATCAGTCTTTTGAGTCTCGTACCATTGCTCGTTACCGTGATACTGGTAGCGTAGCCCGACGTCAAGGAAGTGGAAGAAAGAAAACAGCAACATCAGCAGAAATAGTTCGAAAATATTCTGGGGGTGTATTAAAGCCTTGGGCACGCAATCATTTTGGCCGCAGACCTTGGACATTCCAACAGGACACAGCGAACAATGTCCACCAAAATCACCAGATAAAAATCCGTTGGACTATTGTGCCTGGAGTATTTTGGAAAGCAAGCTTGGCACTAAAAAATACCAAAGTGTCGATCACCTCAAGCAAGCGCTTCGTCGCGAATGGAGTAAAGTATCGCAGAGCAACATGACGCAGCGTGTGACGGTTTCATTGGCCGTTTGAAGGTCATAATTCGTGCCAAAGGTGGCCGATTCGAACAAATATAAACTTATTCTAAAATGTTGGGAAGGTATCAGTAAGAGTGATGATGTATTCCATCTTGGCACCAGACCTTGGGTTAATAAAATTATTGCGAAATGTGAAAAAATTGGACTCTTAAATCAAATTTTATAAGAGTTGTAGTTATTCAAATGTTTTACCCTTTGCTGGGGAGTTACTTGATGGAGTGGACCGATATTGTCCAGTATCGCACCTGAACTAACACTGATGGAAATATTAGGATTCGCAAAGTTGGAGAAAAATCGGATTATCCTTTCTCTTTCTGTGCAATAAATATTTTAATTTAACATTTTGTGTGATAGGTACCAGAAGGAGTGGACCGATACATTCCATTTTCACACTAGACCTTGGGTTTGTAAAATTATTGGGATGTGTGAGGTACCAGAAGGAATGGACCGATATTGTCCATCTCCAAACTCGATCTAAGTTTGACAATAATGTTACGATGCACGAAGTTTGGATCAAGTCGGATACTTCCACAGACAGATAGACAGAGGATGGACGGGCATCGCTAGATCGACTCCAAATGTCCTGAAACGGATTTGGTCCAAAGAGATCTAGGGTCTAAAACCGTTATTTCGATGAGGAACGTTTTGGCCGTATCAAATGATAAATACCTTCTGTAGCTATATGCCTGAGGGTATAAAAATGTAAAAATTATGGCGTTTGACTTTTATGCAGTTTTTTTATCTCACCCTGTATATATTTCGTCCGATTTCATGTATGTTATGCGCCAAACACAATATATATGACAAATGAAATTCACAATGTGTGGCGGAATTTGGTTACAATAATAAATGTGACAAATTAATTGGAAATCGGTTAAGATTTGGATATAGCTCCCATATATAAATATTCTCTTCTTCTCTTTATTTCAAAAGGAGAGTGATTAAATTTGTTTTAAATTAACGGGAGGCTATAGAGCACTCGATTCAACTTAAAACTTGTCTCTTTTTCGAGACGAACTCCGAATTTTGTAGCGGAAAGGAAGACACTATTACACACTAAACTTTATGCGACATATTTCACTGTTGGTTAAGCTGCTCATCATGCACATTTGGTGTGGATGATGGCTTAAAGGACCATCGTTTGGAATTTAGCAAATCTATTTTACAACAAAGATTGTTTTTGTAACTATGGTTTTTTCCCACAACTACTGAACGTTTTTTCAACCAGTGCTTATTTCGTGAATTGTAAAACTTAGCTCATGTCTGATTTGAAAGATTTTATCCTTCCGCTCATTGAATATGGTTGTGTATACGCTTGAACAACGTTGTGAAATATTGTGACATTACTTTGAAAATCATGGCAATGTTAGAGGATGCATGGGAAAAATGCGTACGGATTTTGGAAGAAGGGAAACACGGACAGAAAACCCGCAGGCATACTTTGAAAAGCCGAGTTTCAGTCCAGAGGCATTAGGTCATTTTCCTCCACAAAAGAGCAAAGAGTGGGCGTTACGTTTTTGGGCCATGTTGAACAAATTTTTATTCACAAAAATTGAACAGGAGTATATTGGCAACATTTGGTTTCAAAAGGACAGCGCTATGTGTCACACAACCGAAACTATGTGTCACACAACCGAAACAAAAGGACAGCGCTATGTGTCACACAACAGAAACTTCACTCGATGTTTGGCGTCCTCTCAGCCTCAGATCTGATATCGGTTGCCCACCTCGGAGCTGCGATTTAACACCGTTGGATTATTATTTGTGGGGTGCAGTCAGAAATAATAAGCCAGAGATTATTGACCAGTACCAAACAATCAATCAAATCAAATTCATAGGCTACTGAATAGCCAGCTGAGTCAGCCATTCAAATGAAATGATTTTTCATTATTAACCTCTTAAATGAAATATATTCAGTAGCTTTCTTTATATTATTTTCAAAAAAAAGTCATTTTGCGGACCCCGTATATTCGCGATCAATAAAATCGGTCTGTCTTTCGCACACATTATTAAATAAAGATCTACATTTTTCTCAAGCATTTACATTATTTTAAGGATATTTGAAATTAAAAATCGATCCTATCTCGCCGAACAGAGTGGATCAGTCCATGTAAATTTGTATTCACGCTGTAGGTCGCAATTATAGTTTGCTCCTCACGAAATTTAGCATGGTACAAGGGCTAGGGTCAGAATATAAACCTAAAGTGGGGGAAATAAACATAAGATAATGAAATCGACCAAAAATTTATTTTTTGTTGATTATGCAGCCCCTTTTTAGGTCATAATTGTTTAAGTTTTAAGTCTGCTATTTTGGATGGTTATTGGATAATATTTAGCGGATTTATTAAACAATAATAATTTTTGTGTTAAAAAACCCCAAAAATTTTTTAATGCAGACATTTATTTCCGAAGAAATCACCGGCACATAAAAGTGGCACATCTGACATAGAACTTAAAAGACTTTATTTGTATGCATTGGCAATTCAGCATATTGTTTGGGCTGATGCATCATATTAAATGTCAAATTTATAGGGGATCTGAGGGCCTCAGTGAAAATCTGATATCAAATGTTAATGTATCGTATATTTACTAGAAGTACACAAAAAATGAACAAAAAAATTCCGCTTCATGTTGTATCTTTGCATATAATAATTATATTGTGAAATATGGCTATAAATTAATTTATGAAGCAGTTGTTATTAGTATATATTGGTATCATAAGTTTATATTGATATCATGGAAATTTTATGCGAATTATGAAGTACGTCGTTTTAGTACTTTATCGTATGTTATCGTCTTCTAAACTGAAGACGTCAGATTTCAATTAAAGTTATTAGGTGTGTTTTCTGATTTATGGCACTGTAATTAAGAAGGTATAACACGAAGCCAGCGCAAAAAAAAAACTTTGCAAAAGTGGAAAGAGAGAGTGAGAGAGAGAAATTTTAATATCCATTCATCTTTGTAATATTGGGCATTTTCTTTTTGGGAAATCTTTAGTGTATGTGTATCCCTCATTGCTTGGCCATTTTTATGAATTTTATGGTGTTTTAAGACAAATTCATCTCTAACAAAAACTGACCTGTAGTGGGTTTCTCTAAATCATTTCTTGAGTCACCGACAAAAATCTATATATTGGTCTTCCTATCTCGACGAGCAGTCAGTCCGTCTGACAATGTTAAATTATAATTACGCAAATTTCGTAATTATGGCCGGATTGTTTTTGAGATGATCGTAAAGTATGGATAACGATGGATGATTTTGCAGTTACTCTTGCGGCCACAATTATGAAGCAATCGACTCGGAATTTTAAATGGGGCTAAAGTTAAGGGTTGGTCAGAAACCCACCAATCTCCAGCGGATAATATTAAGCTCGTAAAATAGACCATAACTTTTATATAAAAAATACGACAATTAAATTAAACCGCGAATATTTTAAACTCCACCGAAATTACAAATATACGAAAAGGTAGCTTCTGGTTGTTATATTGATTTTGATATCCAAGATATCGTATATATAGTAAAATATAAAAAATCTTATATAACAAAGAAGGAGATGTCAGTTAGAAAATTAATAACTTAAGAACGGCTGGGCGGATTTTGACCATAACCTCCAATACAGAATGTCATTTTGGCATTTTTTCTGTGATTTGTTTGTGTTATTTTTATACCCTCCACCATAGTATAGAGGGTATATTAAGTTTGTCATTCCGTTTGTAACACCTCGAAATATACATTTTAGACCCCACAAAGTACGGGTTGCCCATATTCGACGGACCCATGACTCTTTGGGCCCATTCCAATCGACGAGGCTTGGCCGCAGGCAACATTCTTTGCGTCAATTGAATTTTGTACGGGAACAAATGCAAATCAATGCGAATAATCCGTTGTAAAATGGACCGAGCCATGCCCAACTGCTGAGAACGGCGTTTTTGGGATGTTCTTAGGGATCTCTCAACACTGGCGGGTACGCAGCGATATTCTCGGCCGATCGCCTTAGTCGACTTTTATATGGCCTCTTCGGATTAGAAAGAGCCTTACCAGTCGAAAATTTTTCGTATAAACGCTTAATGGTGTTCTTAGAAGGCGCACTTCTCACATTTTTTAATGTTTTAAAACCACGTTGAGTTTTCACAATTGACTTCTTCTGTTGAATGTACATTTCAACTATTTCAGAGCGCTCGAGTGGCGTGTTTTGGTTCATGGTAAAGATCTGCTTGGACTGGCGCTTCAAACGCGGTATGTCATTAAGCGATGTGACATCTCTGTCGAAAGTTATGGCGTTGCCAGATGGGTCCTTCGAATATGGACAACCCTGTATATATATGCTTGATCAGCATAAGTTCTATGTCGAAATGAAGTAGATTGATAAAATTTTACTCAAATGTATATTATGTCTGCAGGACTTTTGGTATTGAAAATGGGCCATGTAGGTCCACGTTTTGGTATAGCCCCCATAAACGGTAACTCCCGATATTCGGTACTTTGTGCATTTTAGCGACATTATTCACCGGAATTGTTTCAAATTTGGTATTTGAAGTTCGTAATGGATACTACAGCATATGACAGGAGATTGTCTGTGCAGGTACCTCCCGATATTCGGTATTTTGATGATTTTAGCGACATTATACACCGAAATTGTTTGAGATTTCGTACTTGACGTTCATAATGGATACTGCAGCCTAGGGCATAAAATTGTCTGTGGAGGTCAACATTTTGGTATAGCCCCCATATAATAGTACCTCCCTACATTGATGATTTTAGCTACATTATTCACCGATTTTTTCAAGTTTCGCATTTAAATATTGTAATGGCTTATGACAAAAATTACCTATGCAGGTCCACGTCGTCGGTTAGACCCTACTATGAAGGCTACATTTGGTATTTTTAAGATTTTACCACAATTTTTAATATTGTTTCGCCTTACAAAACTATGTGATAGTGTATTATATTCAGGTCACAATTTTCGTCCTATCTCATGGGATCAGTTGGCTGATGAAACTACCGCAAGTTGAAGTGAAGTGACACGGTCGTTTTCTACACTTTTACAAAACTTCCAGTACTTTTATAATTAGTAACTTTCTTTGTGTGGGCGTTCATCATCCTTTTGTAAGTTTATACATCAAAATGTATTAAGTTTTAAATGTAAAATAATATGACTTACATGCCTTAAATTCCCACTTTATTTTCATCTGATTCACCCAATTGTGTGTAAAAATAAATTCCAATAAGTTATAAATTAACATAATTTATTAATAATAAAAACATTGATTAAATATCCACTAAATTGGCACTACAATCAGTTAAGTAAATTTAAATGAAGAATTGCAATGATATTAGAATTAAATATTCGCCAGCTGATTAGATTTTATATGACTTAAATGGGTTGTATTGTCCGCAATTAAGAGTAAACACGAAGAAATTCAGGAGACATCTGAGTTACCAGAATCCGGAAGATTTGCCACCAGGTGGGTTGTGTACTTTTACCGATGGGCGGGGACCATTTTTATCCAATTCCTCTGCAAAAAGTAAAGAGACACAAAATTATTAAATTATCAAAATGTACGAAATTTATTGATATCATGGTACAAGATAAGTTAAAGCTGTTTTCTAAGTGTGCTCGACTTCTGTATTTGTTGTTTTGAAAAATATGAACAAAATATGTTCAAATTAATTATTGAAAGCAACGTACATTCCAGAATGCGGATTATAGATATTAGGCAGTTTTGCAATGGAATTGAAAGGTTAAAGAGTTTGGATCATGTTTTTCATTTGAGTGTTAAACCCCCATACGTTATAGAACATCTATAATAGCCCCATGTGAAAACTCAGTTCATATTTGGCATTTAAATGATCTTTAATTCGGAATTTGTATTAAGTCCTTATTTTGCATCATAGTATAATTCAATGGCGATTAAACAAATTTCCGATCTGTTTCTGTAGTTTAACATTTCGGAGTTTATTTCAGACGTACATCCCAAATCTACGTTCCTAAACAATATCATCTCGGGGTTAAAAATTCAATAGACTACAAAATTTTCTTTTCTGACCACACATTGGTTGTTGGAGGGGCACTTGGGGGTACACTAATGTGGCTATACTTAAATTTGACTATACTTAAAGAAATGCCTATGTGGACAATTATCTGTAAGATGGTTCTCTACCCCAGATGGTATTTGGAGCATCAAATAAACGAACTCGGTCGAAAATATATGTATGGGAGCTATATCCAAATTTGGTGAATTTATAATTGTACCAAATTTAGTCACTTATGCCGAATTTCATTGGAATCGGACATACGTATCGTGATTTGTGCATCAAATATATGTAATCGACCGAAAATATATATGGGAGCTACGATTTTTATATAATTTGACTAATTTATTTTCTGATCAAAATCCCGTCACACATTCCAAATTTCATTGGAATTGAACATACATGAAATTGGCCGAAAATATATATGGGAGCTATATCCAAATCTGAACCGATTTCAATATAAATTGGCAAATTTATTTTTATTTTAAATTCCATTACGCATTTCAAATTTGGAGACTGTATCTGTAATCGATCAATAGATATATGCATAAAAAAAAACTAAATTTTTTGGAGGTATCTCCGATGCTGATGATATATCTCCATTTCCAAGTGTAATTTCAAAAATTTATATAGGCTTTGTTACTGTCAGGCGATGTTGTAGTATGCTTGGAAATTTTCAGTAAAATCTGTTCAGCAGTTTTCGAGTCCATAAACTACAAACAAACATTTTTCTCTTTTATAGAATAGATTATATTTGAGTAAGACTACTCTCTCAATAGAAGATTCGACCAATTTCTCCAATGTCATTTCTCGAACCAAATTGAATTCATATTCATAGCATTCGCTTTAATTACCATTATCGATCAAAAATATATAAATTTTTAAAGCAACATTTTGATATAAAGAGTAGAATACAACTTTGTACTACTTTGATGTAATGGCTAACTTTACGTCAGATTTCGTTAATTCTCGGAGTTGGAGAGTATTGAATTAGGTAGACAGCGTTGACTTGATCTTGACTTAAAGCCTTGTGATGAGACTTGAGACCATTCAAACTCTTCCTTTGTACCCACGTGAAAAATAAGATCTACATCAACAGCTTAGCGTCGATACAAGGCTTTAAATATGGAATTTCTGAGGATATCGAGGACATAGAGCAGCCACACTTCGATTTGGTTCTCGTGCTGGCCATTAGGCTGATATATGGTTCAGTAACCAGCTGTCGTCGTTTTTTTAGGATTTGACATTAATATGCCTAGCCATGAAGTCACATTTATCAGAGCTACCCTTGAGCAGCATACATTTTTATAGAAAATTTATAGGAATTTCTAAGACTTTTCAAAATCTAGCTGGAAACATTTGCTAGGCAATTCCTTCAGGAAAAGTAACCAGACACACCTTTTACTGAATGTTGTTCGACAACTGAAATGTCTCTCTCACGTACAGATATTGAAAATGTTATTGAACAATATCCAGCAAAAAAATCGATTCAAAATAATAATAATACTATTTATGTTGAATGCTTATTATCTGAAATATAATTTCATTATTACCCGAAATGTTTAAACACTTTCACATCGACCACTAAACAACTGATTTTCCATCAACTGCAGTTACTAAACAATTCTTACTGAGAAATGTATCCCAATAAGGATTTGCCAACTCTAAGTAAGGCAACTGACAAAACTGCTCTCTTCACACGGTTCCATTTATTTTACGTTTCTAACAATATTTTGTAACTATTTCTACAAATTATTTAGTTGCCGTACACACCTTATGATTATCATAGAATGGGTATTGCGGGTTTGGAGTTGCTAATATTTGAAGTCTGTCGGAAGTGAAAAATGGGAGCCATATCTTAATCTATACCCAATCACAGTCTGAGCTCATTTATGCCGGTCCGTCGGTATGGTCACATTTATTATCTGATCATTACGAAAATTTTCACAAATCATTTATCAGGTCCCAGGATACCCTATAGACCCTATTGAAATTGATGGTGATCAGTCTAAATTTATATATTACTTTCATATATCTTCGTCCGATTTCAATCTTATCGGGCCCCAAAAGTGTATTATTTTCCCTAATATTATGGATTTTTACCAAATTTAGCCTGAACAAGTAAAAAAGCAGCTAAGTTTGGCCGATCCGAACTTTTAATACCCTTCACCATTTGGAAGGAACTTAAAAAATTTCAATAAATCCCGAAAAATACCGTTTAAATGATGACCTTTATACGAGGGCTATACGAAGACGCGGGCCTGCATAAGTAATTTTAGGCTGTAGTACCTATTAAGATATTTAAATATGAATTCCGGCTAATTATATCGCTCTAATCATCAAAATACCGAATGAAGGGAGGTGGAATTTTTTGTCATAGGCTGTACTTCCTTTTACGAACTTGGAAAAAATCCAGTGAATAATGCGCTAAATTCATCAAAATACCGAATAAAGGGATGTACCGATATATGGGGGCTGCACGAAGACGTGGACATGCATACAATTTTTTTGCATAGGCAATGGAACTTTTTACAAACTTCGAATAAGAAATTTGGAACAATTCGGGTAAATAATGTCGCTAAAATCATCAAAACACCAAATATCGGAAGGTACTGTTATATGTGGGCTATACGAAAACGTGGACCGACATGGCTCATTCACGAACTTTCCCTGCCAAAATACACAAGTGTGCAAAATTTTAGTCTTCTTTAAACGCAGATTATCAGATTCATAATTGGACTTTAGCTAAACTTTAAACGATGTCGCTCTAATTTTGTTATTCTAGACCCCCAGGCCCCTTCTTCTAAATTCTTTGTTAGTTTTGAAAAAAATATTGAATCCCTTGTAGATTTAGGAAGCACATACATACAATATTTACAAATAGAGATCCAAATCAATAAATGCTTTATTTTAAAATGCAAGGCCAGGCACTCAGAAGTTCAGAAACTTATTGTTTCCAATATATGTTTTAAACAATCATTTCAACAATGAAGCGGATAACAAACAAATAACACCCTGGGCCAATAGGGCCAGGGCAGCTAGGAACAAGTGTTTGTATTTATTTTGTTATTTTGTGTACAAAAAGGAATTGCAGCTTTGTTCGAATGTGGGTTAGATGAAATCAGCAAAAACGCTTCACTTACGGCTTATGGAAAAAGTCGATTCTTGCATGTTTCTGGCGCCATCTACATGCTTGAGACCAGTTGGACTCTGAGGTTTGGCTTGACTACCCACATCGTAGGCGGAGCTGAGCAGAGTGTGAGAAATAGGTTTCTGATAAGTCACCTCCTTCTGTAACGCATCAAAGTTTAGACTCTTTACACCGCCATTGACTCCATCAGCAGCCTTGCCGTCACCATTGCTCTGTTCAGCTGGAACTTTGCCCTCCAAAACATCATAGATATATGGTGTTCGCACTGGAGTGCTTAAGAAACGACCAAAGCCTTCGGCCACACGAACATTACCATCTTCCACACAGACACGACCACGCACCAATACAATCTCGGGAACACCATGGCAAACCATGCCTTCGAAAATATTAAAATCACAATTGTGGTGGTGGGTATCCTTGGAGATGGTGCGGGTGATATTTGGATTCCAGACGACAATGTCGGCATCGGAGCCAGCAGCAATGCGTCCCTTTTGGGGATACAAATTGAAGAGTTTGGCAGCATTGGTACTGGTGACGGCAACAAAACGGCAAGGATCCAAGATGCCGGCATGGACACCTTTCTCCCACACCACAGACATGCGGTCCTCAACACCGTTAACACCATTGGGGATTTTGGTAAAGTTACCCTTGCCCAGCTCTTTGTGTTCCTTGTTGAAGGTGCAGTTGTCACTGCCGGTGGTCTGAAGGCCATCGCTAGAAAATAAAAACAAATTCCCAAATCATTCATTCAAATTATTTTGAATCCACTTACTTTGCCAATAATCTCATCATGAACTCGGGGGTGGTGGGATCTGATCTAAGGGGAGGACTGAGGATATGAGCAGCGGCATGATGGAAACAATTGTTGTGACAGTGTGTACCATCGGTGCCCAGAGCGGCGGCCAAAGTTTCACCATAAATACCGCGATTGTTGTAACGGCGGCGAGCTCTGGCCAATTCAATACCAGCCGATTTGCCCATTACATGGACCACATAGAGGGGACAATCAACCTGCAGGAGAATACGGAAAATTAACAGGAATGTTCGAGATTTTTTTAAGGTGACTTACCTGATGAGCCAATATGCATGCGCGGTGAACGGCTTCAGCTTCCACTTCTTCCTGGCGTGACATTTCATGACCCTCAGGACCGGTGACGCCGGCATTCAACAGTTTACCCGCATTTTTGGCAATAATATCACCATTTTCGGCATGGACCTAAAAAACAATTCAAAATTGTACATATTTTAACTTGTCTAATTGTAGATCTCTACTCCACTCACCTGAGCCAATGCCCCCAATTCACGAATGCGTTCCAAGCTATCCAACATATCGGAATCGTTCAGTTGATACAATCCCTTGTAGGCCATGAACATTTTGTAGGAATTGATGCCCAACTCTTGGCACAAAATTTTCATTTCATCCGATACCAATTTGGACCACCATGTTACGCCCACATGCAGGGCATAATCACAGCACACTTTGGGGTCAGCCCAAGAGCGCCACTTGTGATAGGCATCAATCAAGGATTCACCCTTGTTGGGCATGACAAAATCAACTGTAAAGGTTGAGAGTTAAATATGCGATTCTTTTCGATTTTGTTGTTGGTCTTACTAATGGTTGTGGTGCCACCAGCAACGGCGGCTCTGGTTCCATGATAGAAGTCATCAACAGACACAGCTCCACCAAATTCAAATTGGAAATGGGTGTGAGGATCAATACCGCCGGGTATAATCAAACGCCCAGTGGCATCAATCACACGTACACCTCCGGGAATATTAATTTCAGATGCTGGGCCTACAAACCTTTAAAAAAGAGATAAACGGATTAATTTTCAAGTCTAACTCAGTTTGAATTTTGTCTTTCTAAAAATGGATTTTTTTATTGAGGGCCAAGTAAATAAAGACAAGAAACCATTTTCTCTTTAAAAGTGGCAGTGTTGAAAAACGGTTGTTAATTTCCATATTCCTGAAAAAACTAATTATAATGTTTTCTTGTGTTTGAGAGACAGTGCGATAAAGCAACTCCGATGTAGTTCGGTCTAGGGCATATGCAGGGTGAGATAAAAAGACTGCAAAAATGTCAAACGCCATAGTTTTTACATTTTTTGTTTTCAAATTTTATTGAATGCAAAAACTGTCGGTAATAGCATCAAATTTTAGAAAAAATTTAGATTTGTTGGTCACCTTTGCACGAATTATGGCCTTGAAACGGCCAATGAAACCGTCACACGCTGCCCGAATGTTGCTCTGCGTAATTTCGGCCCATTCCCGGCGAAGCGCTTGTATGAGGTGATCGACACTTTGGTATTTTTTAGTGCCAGCCTTGCTTTCCAAAATGCTCCAGACACAATATTCCAACGGATTGGTATCCGGAGATTTTGGTGGTCATTATGCGCTGGAAATGAAGCGAGGAACCTCATTTTGTAACCATTCTTGGGTGGCGCGTGCTGAGACCTGTTCGAATGTCCAAGGTCTACGCCAAAATTTTTGCGTGCCCAAGGCTTTAATGCACCCTCCAGCTGCCCCTTAATTTTCAGCTGACCCTGACCTCTTTGGGAAGTAAAGACAATCAATTTGTTTGTTTACAAACTGCTGGACAACGAATGTTTTCTCATCGGAGAAAACCAAATAACTTTTTTTCTGGAAAATTCTCACCAAAATGCTTTTGTATGCTTGTAAACTGGAGAAATTTTAACAGCTGTCAGCTGGACGAGTGGCTTAGAAATGACAGCAGTCTGAAGTTGGTGGCAATTTTTTCATCACACCCTGTATATGCAATAACTGACTAATCTAGAATTTACGTCCAATCGAAACGGCTGAGGTTAAAATCTTGGAATTTTATACAAAGGAAACAAGTACTAAAAGGGTAGGAGACGTATTAAAATGTAAAAAAAATGAACGGACAAACGGAATGAGCTGGAATTACAGTCGGAATGAGAGTCACTGATGGAGTGGTTTAGAAATTCCAACTTTAAGGTAACGAAAACTTCTAAAATGGTACCTTTTGGTATTATGTGAACGGATAGAGGTTAAAACTTGACATTTGGCACGGAAATCAAGGTTGGATAGTATGTTTGATTTATGAAGGTTGTTTTGAAAATATATGTTCCAAGAGTGCGAACCGTAATAAATGCCACTAAGTTTGGTAAAATTCCGTTTTGGGTGAACGGAATGCAGCTGGCAATTTTGAATGTTGTTATTGGTGTCCCTGTTTTTGATAGGTTTGAGAATTAAAGTTGATTGCATATACAAAACCAGTTCCTTCTCTCAATCACAAACACCACAAATGGTACTAAATTCGGTATTGGATGAAGGAATAGAGCTGCGATCTTGAAATTTGATATTGAGGTCTCTTTTGGTGTATGTGGTTTAAAATATGGAGGTGATTTTATAAATGCTTACTATAGTTGTACGAAAAGTACTAAATAGTACTAAATTTGGTATTGGGTGAAGGAATAGGTCTGAAATTCGGTATAGATGTTACTGTTGGTGTCCATGATGGAGAGTAGAAGCTGGTTTTGTATATTTTTACTCTAATTGAACTAAATTATACTAAATGTGGAAAATGAGAAAATTGAAGGGCTAAAATTTTGAAATTTTTTATAAAGTTTACTGTTGGTATCTGAGGCTGAGATATGGATTTTGTTTTCAAAATGCATACTATAATTGTTCGAAAAGTACTAAATGCTACTATTTTTGGTATTGCGTGAAAATTGATATTAAGGTAACTGTTGGTTTCTAGGATTTATACATGAAGACTCTGAAATAGTTTTGGACAGAAAAATTGAATGTGGGTCCATTGTACAATACCAATATCCTCCTCGGTAAACTTTCAAATGAAAAATGTTTAAAGACTTTTTCTGGGTAAAAAGTAAAAAGTTTCAATTAATGTTTCGGAAAAAAGCAAAAATTTGTGTTATATATAAATCCTTAAAAGTCTGAAATATTTAGTACGTTTTATGAAATTTTTAATAAAAAATTTTGCTAAATCAATCAAATTGTGCCTAATACGAAATTTTAGAACGAATCTAGGATGGACTTTTCGCTGACGAAGTGGCGGATACTTGCTACCGTCGTATATTTTGATACTCACTTGATAATGCCATCCTCGATGTAAACATCGGCTTTGAACATGCCATCATCGTTGACAACCTGGCCATTTTTTATGTAGACACGATTTTGGGCGCTCTGCAAATAGAATTGAAATGATTTGACATTTAATATTCTGATAATGTTTAACAATTAGATTAAAAAAAACTTGTTCTATGGCGTTATCTGAATATAAATCGGGATATGAAAAGAACGATTTTGATATAAACTATCCACTCATATTATGTGTTATAAAAACTAATCAAATTTTTATACCCTCCCCCATGAAGAAAGAATCAAGTGTTGACAAATAAAACTGACGATAAGTTTGGTCGTGCCGTTTTTTTTATAATTTTTAACAACATATGAAGTTTTTTGATAAGCCAAATAAAAGCAAAGATAGGAGAGTATCATAATTGGCACTCTTAAGTTGTATCAAATCGAGTGGAACCATTGATAGGAAACTCAATTCGTGTGGCATTTTTAGAGAGAATATTGCGAAAGTTTTTATTTGCTTATTTTATACAGCCATTTGAAATTCAATTTTTATTCAAAGTGTTGACTATTTGTGGGCTAGATATTTTTGAGTATTGTCTGCGAATTGTAACTAAACTGGACACTTAGTTCGCTTTCCATGGGAGATACGATTGTTTTGTAAAAGTTCGTGCCTAAGTGTGTGAAAAGGCAGAAGAGTGCGAAAGATACTTAAGATTGAATACTTTGTGTTGGACACACAAAATGGACTGAAATTTAAAACGAGAGTCACTGGTGGAGTTCGGGATAGATGTACCAAGGGGATTTTGTAAATTCAAACTTTAAGATTGCGAAAAGTTGTAAAATGGCACAAAACTTCGAAAATGGTACCATTTGGTACGGATAGAGCTAAAAACATGAAATTTATTGGGAGAAACACTAAATGGTTCTAAATATGGAACAGTTTGGTTTAGGACGAACGAATGAGGCTGGAGTTTTGATTTTTTGTATTGGTATTGCTGGTGGTGGTGATGGTTGGTTAGTGGTGAAATGGTGGTTTTGGAAATGAGTACGTCAAGTGCACGAAAAGTACTAAATAGTACTATATTTTGTATTGGGTTAACAGATAGTGCTTGAAATATGAAATTTTGTATTCAATACTTTTTAATAATTTTTATTGGAAAAATGGAATGAGCTAGAATTCTGAAATTTGAAATGAGAGTTACTGATGGATTGGTTTGGAAATTCGAACTATAAGGTTACTAAAAGTTCTAAGATGTACCATTTGGTTAAAGTGAACCGATAGAGGACTTGAAGTTCGGTATGCGAATCAAGGTTGGAAAGTAAGTTGGATATACGAAGGTGGTTTTGGAAATGCGTACTAAGTGTGCGAACTGTACTAAATTTGAAACATTTTGGTTAAGGGTGAACGAATGAAGCTGGATTTTTTTAATTTTTGTTTGGAGTCTCTGTTGGTGGTAGGTTTGTGATAAATAGTTGGTTTTGTAAATGAGTACTACAAGTGCACGAGAAGTACTAATTAGTACTATATTTGGTTTTGGCTGAACAGATAGTGCTTGAAATCTGATATTTGGTATTTGGGTTATTGTTCATTTGAAGCCTGGACATATGAAGGTGGTTTCGGAAATGTGTGCTATAATTGTACGAAAAGTACTGAATGGTACTATCTTTGGTATTGGGTAAAGGGATAGATATAAAATTCCGAAATTTGATATTTAAATTACTGATGGTATTTGTGTTTTTGTTGATTTGATGGTGGTTTGGTGCTAAATTTATTATTGGGTGGAGGGATAGGTTTGGAATCCTCCAATTGGATATTGAAGTCTCTGTTGATATTTTGAATTGTGATACGGAGTTGATTTTGAAAAGAATTTACTACAATTGCACTAAGTTGTACTAAAATTGGTAATGGGGGAAATTAAAGAGCTGAAATTTGTTGATAAGGTCACTGTTAGTATCTGAGGTTGATATTTGAAGAATTTTCTGAAAATTACGTATAAAGTTTTTTATACCCTCCACTTTGGAAAGGAGGGTATATTAACTGTGTCATTCCATTTGTAACATCCTTAAATATTCGTCGTAGACCGCATAAAGTATATATATTCATAATCAGCGTAAAATTAAATCTAAGTCGATTTAACGATGTCCGTCTGTCTGTCCGTCTGTCCGTCTGCCTGTCTGTCTGTCTGTCTGTCTGTCTGTTGAAACCACGATACAGCCCACATTATTTGACGTAGAGCGCCAAAATTTAGCAGAGCAATTGGTATTGTGTCTAGGATGGTTGGAATTGAAAATGAGATATATCGGTCCACGTTCTGGTATAGTCCCCATATAACGGTACCTCCCGATATTCGGTATTTTGATGATTTATGCCACATTTTTTCACGGATTTGTCTGAAAATTGGTATTTGTAGGTCATAACGGGTCCCTGTACGTTTGGCAAAACATTGCATGTATAGGTCCACGCTTTGGTATAGCCCCCATATAATGGTACCTCCCGATATTCGATGTTTTGATTATTTTTGCAACATTTTTTTTAACGAATTTGTCTAAAAATTGGTATTTGTCGTTCATAATGGGTTCCAGCTCCGGTGGCGAAACATTGCATGTATGGGTCCATGATTTGGTATAGCCCCCATATAACGGCACCTCCCGATATTCGGTAATTTGATGATTTTTGCCACATTTTTCACGTTTTTGTCTGAAAATTGGTATTTGTAGGTCATAATAAGTTCTAGCTCCGTTGGCGAAACCTTGCATGTGTAGGTCCACGATTTGGTATAGCCCCCATATAGCGGTACCTCCCGATATTCGGCATTTTTTTGGCTTTTGCCACATTTCTTCTAATGTTTCCTTTACCCTAAGGTGGAGGGTATTAAAAGTTTGGCCCGGCCGAACTTAATGTTTTTTTTACTTGTTAATATATAAGGTTGATGTCTACCCTTTGTGTGGGAGGTACCAGAAGGAGTGAACCGATATATACCATCTTTATAACAGATCTTGTGTTAATAAAAATATTGAGATATGCCAGATCTGAATGGAATCGGATGTTATTTTACCGTTTTGTGAGCTTCGTGGATATTCAAAATTTTGGCCCTTTGTGAGGGAGGTACCAGAAGGAGTAGACCAATATATTCCATCTTCACATGTGTAATTTGAAGGCAATCAGACTCATACATTACATTTTATAAGAGTTATTATTATTCAAAATTTTTACCCTGTGTGGGAGAGGTACTTGATGGAGTGGGCCGATATTGTCCATTTTTGCACCTGACTTAGCACTGATGCAAATATTAGGCTTTGCAAGGTTGACAAAATCAGATTATCTTTTCTCTTTCTGTGCAAAAAAATATATTTTTTGAAAATTTCGACCTTTTGTGGGGGATGTACCAGAAAGAGTGGTCTGATATTGCCCATCCCCGAACTCGATCTATGTTTGATAATAATATTACGATGTACCAAGTTTGGCCAAATCGGATACTCCCTTCGTGAGTTATCGTGCTCACTAGGCAGCCAGACAGACGGGCGGACGCTGGATCGACTCCAGATGTCCTGAAATAGATTTGGTCCAAAGAGTCCTAGGGTCTAAAACTGATGAGGCACGTTTTGGCCGTATCAAATAATATGTACCCTTTGTAGCCATATGGCTTAGGCTATAAAAATGATATACGTAGACATATATTATCGGCCTATTTCTAAATACATCTCCCGCACCGACTTTTTTAAACTACGAACTTCGCAATATTAACGCAAAAATTATTTTATATGCGATGACGGGATATTAGTTCCGAATTATATCTGCAGAAAAAACCGATTGACATTTTCTGAAATGATTTTTTTAATTGAATTGTCCTTTAAAAGCAGATGCAAACTCATCGACGCAAATGAAAACTCATCTTTGAATTATTTTCAGACGTCTAGTAGATCATATACATATAAATATATATGTTGAAAAAACACAGGACGTGTATCCTGTGAAGTAGACAAAATTAATATTTGGCAAAAAATAAGAGAAAATTATGATTTTGATTCCATACTGAAAAATAGAAAATTTTAGACGGACAGACTCACCGGACTCCGGTATCAAAAACTCAATTAAATCTGTTCAAGCTTAAGTTGTTAATTCTATGGAGAATCGAACAAGGTTAAGGATTTAAAATATGTTTCTTTATACAAAAATGAAAAATAATAAAAATAAAAAAATAAATAGATAAGTAATGTAAAAATATTAAAAAAAAATAAATTACATATATTATTTTTATTATTATTATTCAAAAGTGCCATAGCTTGTAAAAACTAGAAATATAGAAAAATCTTAATTTAGCCAAAAAATCTGTAAATAGCTTAGTTTTTAGATAATTTTCATTCAAAATATCTAAATAAAAATAACGCCACAAAAACGATTCAAAATTCAAAACAAGTAGCTCTCAAACAAACCACTTTAAAATACGTACCTGCAAATGGAGGGGCACCTTCTTGACGGGTTTTGGGCTGTGCGACATTGTTTCTGACTGACTGACTGATTATCACGTAATGTTATTTGTTTATGGCTCTATAAATAAAAAGTAATAATAATAATAAGTTAGAACTATTTCTATTTGCCCATTTATTTTTATTAAAACGAAATTTTTAGCACACTGCGATTGTTGTGGACGTACATCTCGTCTTAGAGCGTTACCAATTAACACTAATCGCATTCAACAACTTTGGCAAAGTCGTCAACTCAGCTGCGCTTGGTGGGCACGTTCCGCACACATACTAACACAGACTCTCATACATTTCTCGCTGCTTCTGATAAGCGTCCATTTGACAAGCGGACCTACTAAACTGATACTTTGTTTATGCCGGGCACTCGGTACTAATGTTCTTATGATTAGTAAGCACTTTTTTTCTATTGGAAAAATTTCACACAACAAAAATGTTGTACAACAAACACACACTCTCTCTCATACACTTGATAAAACAAATCAAAAGAATTGGTAGAATGAAATCAATAAAACATCTGTGTGTCTTTGCGTAAGGTTATGGAAAAGTTTTTTGGACAACCTCAAGTCGAAATCCGATTGGCAATCTGGTGTTTTTGAAGATTTGATGAAGTGGTCAAGAAGAAGAAGAATGCACCAGAATGTTGCTATTTTGAGACCACACCACATTTAAAATTGAAATGCGAGACATTTGATTATAATTTATTTGGACGAATCAGTAGCTGAAATCTAAAATAGTGATTGATGAACGGAGCAAAGATATATTTGTGGGAATCCAAACGTGAATTTGATAAGGTGTTTTTGTAGATGTACAAAATACGTTAATTAAGACAATGTTTGAATACCTTTATTTAAGGAACTCTTTATAAACCCATGTAACAATTCATGGAGACTTATCAATTTACATTATTTATTAGGAAAAAATTGAAACAAAAATGATTTTGTTATTGTTGGTGTCGGAAATAAAAAAAAAAACATTTATTTCAACATTTTAGAGCTTTAACTTTAATCGTATATTTCCCATATAAGAGTACCTCCCGATATACCGTATTTTGATGATGTCAGCCACATTTTTCAATGGAATTGTCTGAAAATCCACACAAGGTGTTCCTTCTGAGTACTTTACGCACTGGAAGAGAATTGTCTATATAGGTCCACGATATCGAATATCGCCCATATAAAGGTATTTTGCAATTTAAGCGACATTTTTGACTGTAATCTGGGTCTAGGATTATGATATGGAACGGTTTTGAAAATGAAATCTGAAATTTGGAATTAGGGTCGCTGTTCAGTGTAGCCTGGTTTCCGAAATGTTTTCTATAATTATACGAAAAGTACTGAATGGTACCATATTTGGTCTTGGGTGAAGAGATAGGGCTGGAAATTTGATATTGAGGTGGTTTGGAACAGAGTCCCATATTTTTACGAATAGTACCAAATGATACTAAAATTGGTATTGAGAGAAGGGATAGGGCTGAACCGTGAAATTTTATATTTACCATTCAAGACTATGTGTTGGGGGTATTATAAGTTTGATTGGGCCAAAAATTATGTAACAAATCAAAATATTTGCCCAAGACATAGGAAACTTTACATTGATCTTTCTATCTCGCCGAGCTGAGGCGATCTAAGTTGTATGTCCGTCCACCCATCTATCCATGTTGATTCGTAATCATACTATCGGTCGCAATTATAACCCGGTCCTCGCGAAATTTTGCATGGGGTATGATTGGAATCAGAATGGAAGCCTATTGTTTAGGAAGATGTTTGCAAAATATTTAGGGTTCAAAATGGACCAAAAATCTTAAAATTGTTTAGATTTTGCAGTCAACCTGCAATTCTTAAAAAAGGTCAATAGACATGGAATTTTTTATGAGATAAGAGTTTAGGACAGCGCAGATGTCTAGCATTTTTGATGGTCATCGGATAATATTTAATATATTTAAATGGACCACAATTTTGTGTGAAAAACCAGTAAAGAAAGTCTTAAAGTCGGGCGAGGCCCGACTTATTTAGTGGAGCTCCACATAACAATTAAAAGTTTTTATGGAAGAATTCAATCATAATCATAATCGCTATGATTATAATTATAATTTAAAATTCAAAGGACTAAATATGCCGAAGCATTTGTGTCTTTTAAATTCGGACTTGTATTGCCCATTTGGTGCACAATTAATTAGAAATCGTATAAAAATATATATGTGAGCTATATCCAAATCTGAACGGATTTCGATAGAATTTGGCAAAGATATTTCTGGGCTGTGTTTGATATATTTCCTTAAATATTGTTGTTACGGAGTGCATATTACGGCTGTTGCGAACAAATATAACAAATCCGATGAAAAATATATATGGGAGCTATAGCTATATCTGAAACGATATTCACCAAATTTGACACACTAGCCAAGTTCCATCCCATTTGGGCAAATATTAGACGTTTGGTACACAATAAAAGGTAAATTGGACGAAGTTATATATGGGAGCTATATCCAAATCCTTCCCGATCCCGATAAAATTTAGCAAATGTATTTCTGAGTTGCATTTTAATATTTCTCCAAATATTGCAGAGTGCATATTACTGCTGCGGAGGACAAAAATTACAAATAGGATAAACAATATATATGAGAGCTTTAGCTATATCTGAACCGATTTCGATAAAATTTGGCATACTTATTTTCAAGCGTAATTTGGTTGTATGTGCAAAATTCCATACTTACTATTCGGGCTGATATTACACGTTTGGTGCACAATAAAAGACAAATCAGACGAAGATATATATGAGAGCTATACCTAAATTTTTACCGATTATCTCCAATTTCAATAGGGCTTGTCCTTGGGCCAAGCAAATGTTTTGTGCAAAATTTCATCCGCTTTTATTTGATTTTATTATGAAGTACATATGGGAATGTTTCCTAGGGGAACTTTACCGCAAACTGTAGTGTTGTATGATTTCAAATGGTCGGTCTTGTCGACTATAGCCTTTGCTTACTTGTTTTTAAAGCCGTTATCATCTATGGCGGTATTAGATCCAGAATTACGTTTTCAGACACCATCCGACTATAACTCATTGTCAAGCGGAACTTTTTGTATCCTCCCTCATGTGAAATCCAATTATAACTAAAATTTGAAAATAGGGTTACATGATCAATGCACTACAATGTATATGCTGAAAATTCATTCCCAATAGTTTTCTACCGGCTTCAAATAAAAATTGATAAAAAAAATCACCCGCTCCACCGAAAAAAAAATATTGGGAAGAAAAGGTTGTTGGTGGAAGAGTGCAAGACATTAAAGACACTTAATGCAATCGTGACCATTTTAAGGAACTTATGTCAAAACCGATACTAGAAAAAAAAGTACACAAGGAGTGAAGTACAGAATATCAAGATGTGCCACTGTAAGATATAATGAATCTTCACTAAGCCGTAATATATATCCACTTAGAACTTGAAATATCAAATGACAATTAGTCTGGTATGCAAACCTTTAAAATATTTCAAAATCGAATGTCCCCGTGGGTTATTCCCTCATTTGGAATTTGGAGTGCCGTACACCCGAAAAATTAAATATATCTTATGGCGGTGGTTATAATTCGCATCGCTTTTTGCACACCCCTAATATATGACTATGTATGTGTGAATTTGTGGTTGCTTTTTTATTTTTACTTTTACTAGTTTAATTCAAGATAGTGTTTCATTTTCGGTAGGCGTCCCCCAGCAATGTCTTATTTAATAGTTGACTAACAAAGGGGTGCCAATTATATCGACATCGAGATTTGGGAATGAATGTCTATATATATTTATGCCTGTATGTACGTAAGTATTGTTCTAAAAGTGTGACTTTTCGGAACTGAACGATAATTTTGTCAAATTATCTCATTTAATTGTATAGATGTTTGTTCTATCATTTAACAAATAGTAATAGCCATGTCTATCACACTTGTGATTAATAGCGAAGCGAAGGATGTTAGGGACTGTGTTGTACCCTACATCGTTCTCCGGGAATTAATGACGATCATCTTACTTTTTGAACAAATTCAACTTTGGTAGAGGTTATTTTGTTTTATTTATTTATTTTTATTTTTTTATATTTTGTTTTTTTTTTTTTTTTTTTTGTATGTGAAAATAAAAATGAATAACGTGAATATGTGGAATTAGAAAATGTTACATTTGAAAGTATTGTTTATTTTTTTATATTATGAGGTGATTATATTTGGGGTATATGATGAGTATTTTTGTACCGGATGGGTTTTTTGGTACGAGCCAAATTTGGTTGACCCTTGCTTCAAACACATATTACTGGTTTCGTTTATTAGGGGTTTTGTTTGGCAGTTAAAGCCATAAAAATTCGATTGTTTTGATTGTTTTTGCTGTAAAACAAAATAGAATAATAATGGAACATATGGTGACTGAATTCTGAGTGAGGAATATGATTACAGCAAGGGAATCAAGTACGTCATCAAAAAAAAATAATATGTATATATATCAAAGTAAGTAAATTGCTGGGCGAGAATCCTTGTTAGAAATTACAGTAGCCATTTGCATGTCATAGATTTTTTTTTTTTTTGAAACATTTTGGCACGAAGAGTTTGACCACGAAGTTCATTCCATCATACACGACATTTGAATAAACAACAAGTAACAAAGTAGATATGTCCGGGCCGAACTTTTAACATCGTCTAACGTTTGGAAGGAAACTTGCAAAATGTAAAAATATCAGTTGAAATATGCCGCAATTTTTCTAAAAATTCCAATTATCTGCCAAAAAGGTGATGGGGTTTACGTACTCCAAAAATCAAGTTTTAGATAATTGTGGTGAAAAATTTAGCTAAAATTATAGAAAATTGGGAGGTACCTTAATATGGAGGCTACATGAAGACCTGACTTTGTGTGGTCATTTCTCAGTCATAGAAAGCAAACTCCAAATTCTGAATTTGAAACAATTCTGGTAAAAAGTGTGGTAAACATTATCATAATACTATATATGAAGAGTTATACTTATATGGGAGCTATATGGACCTGCATATGCAATTTGCATATGACACAAATCATGAAAATATCGAATATCT